AAAAAATCGAAAAGGCAGGTCATTTTAATTTTCGAGGGAGACACTTCAATTGCATATTTTTATTCCTGATGGTTCAACCCCCTATTAGGAGGGGTAGATTCCCTTATTTTATCATTTTTGGATGTGTTTTTTGACCACCTTTTCTATTTGAGATTCTAAGGGTAACATCTAAAGGGTTGAACCAAGAAGGCTTCATACCCAAAGTTGAATCTGGAAATTGATAGAATGAAACTGAAATCTAACTTGAAAAGTTTCGGAATCGATTGTTTTAATTTTTTCTAAGACTTGAATTAATGAAATCTTACGTCACCAATCCTTACTGATACTGATAGCATTATTGAGGTTATGTTGTCATTGTTATCTGTTTACTTATTTATTTGCGATTTTGTATGTATGCGTTGAATTCCTCGTATTCGATAATATAGCAGGTAATAGAAATTATTTGCTTGTTTGTTTCTCACCTAGAGGGTTATGCACAAATTTCCTGATTTTCCTTTCGTCTTCAGTCCCTGAAAATTTGAATCATTTCAATGCCGATTAATCTTTGGTAATGTTCGGAAAGAAGTTGATAACATACTGTTTATGATGTTGAGGGAATAAACGAATGAGTACTTTTAATTTTAAGCCCTCATGTGAGCGACAAAAGTGGCACCTTTATTCCCTCGATGATTAAAAGTAGATAATGGCAATTTTTCTCAAACGTCATAGCTACGTTTTCAAGGCATATAACTTCTCCATCCTTCAGTCAGCAAAGTTGTCATTTTGAAACTACATAGTGTAGGTAACCTACCGCTACGAGTAGGAGAGTACCTATATTATCTTTCATTATTTGCTTGATTATTTCATTATTAGCTTTTCCACTCCTGGAGTGCATAAAATACAAAATACGAGAAATTTATAATTGCCATGTTCTTACGATTCATGTCCTATGAATGGGCTTATATCACAAAAATAGTTATTTGTTTAACTAGGCAGCAAAATAGTAGATTGACTGCCGAGGCTGAATTCATAGCCGAGCGTAGCGAGGCTAGGAATCCAGCTAAGGCAGTCAATCTACTTTGCTGCCGAGTTGAACATATAATTTTTTCTCCGATTGTTCATAATGATATAGAAGGATATTGTAATTGCAAATTATTACAATTCCCACAATCTCTTTATTTTTCCTGTAGTGTTCAATTAAAATGAAATTTGATAGAAATCGCAGTTGTCCATGATAATAATTATAGTTTGACAATTCATGAGAATTCTAACAGTTGTGCGAAAAAATATCGGTATATTTAAATTATTATATAATGAACACTTGATGGACAGTGATAGCGACCTGGAAGTACTTACACCTCCAGAAATAAGGGAGGTGGCAAAAAATATAGAGTTGAATTTGTTGCCGGAGAAGCCTCGGATGGAATATGAAGGAAATTGTAAACGATTTATGGATTATTAATTTTGCTGATACATATCAATCAGCAAAGTAACCACTTTGCTGCCTAGGCAGCAAAGTACCCACTTTGCTGCCTAGGCAGGGAAAGTAATACTTTGCTGATTGATATGTGTCAGCAAAATCAATATTTGCTGCCGATCGGAGAAAAAAATTATTCCATAATTCGATAGAACTCATCCAAACTAGCTCACCACCGCAAACCGTTTCTTGCTGTGAGCTTCCTACGTTTTATAAAAAATTATTGAAATCCCCGATTTTTCGGACCTCTGAAAACGAGGAGATGAAGTGACGTCAAAACCCTAATACTGAAACAAGACTTTTCCAGGCGGAGATGAATGATACATGATTTCTGACTGAGTGAATTAGCGCAAGATCACAGTTGAAAGAATTAAAATATCAGTTGCCTCAGTCTCCGTCGGGCGTTCGGTATTTTCTTTTAACTATGGCGATATGAGGTTTCTTCGTCATAAGAGGGTCCGTTTTCAGAAGGTACTATTATTTATGTCCAAAAATAAAACATTCCAGTTAATTTTTCGATCGAATTATGTCGTCAATCATTATTTATGTATAAAAGGATCATTATAAACATGGTTCGAGTTAAAAGTTCTACTAAAGTGTACACGCCCATTCCTGGATTTTTCTAAGAAGTCTTTTTAACACTTGCATCAGTAGGTAGTTATTCGTTTATACGAATCGATGCACATAGATTGCTTATATAATTATTCAATGTTTTGTGACGCATTACCCAGGAAAGTACCTATATTTGCTTTTCTCCCGTAATCCACCATTATTGATCATTACCCAGGAAAGTACCTAGTTGCTTTTCTCCCGTAATCTACCATTGTTGTTCATTTTCTGAACATTTGTGGAATTAAGTTTGAGTTTTCACTTCTCATTGATTCTAGATAACATTTTCTTGACTTGCTAATGAGTCCCCTTATTTTTGCTTTGGTAATCAGTGAAGGCCTTCCTTTTTGAAAAAAGTCGGTAGGTAATCAATAAAAATATTATAGCTGATATGGAAACTAATATAAAATTTCAAACATATCAACAAAACGAGCACGTATTATTATTAACAACAGGGTTTTCTCCAGTTCATAAAATCAGAGCTACAAACCTAATAGGCCAGTTTCGGAGAAAAAAATTTTACACAACTATTGGCAAAGTAGAAGGCATAACAGAAGTGAATAATCTTCAATAATTATTATTTGACGCCTATGTGCTAGCGGGTATATACAATACACATGAAATTTCAGAAAAAACCCGTATTTCGTACAGAAAGCAAATCGTTTTTCACAATAACTTGATCTTATAATACACGAATGAACGATTTGACCCGCAGCACTGCTCAACTTTGAACAGTGTTGCCAATATTTTTTTTTTCATTATGAAATATTGGATATCAAGATTGGCTGTGATGAATGTTCTGTATTGTAACGTTAGTAAAAAAATAACAAGTTGAATATTGATCTGTCGATCAGTTTATAATATAATTTCACTTGCTTTATTCCGCATTTTTCTATGAAAACAACACGAAACTCAGAGTTGGAGAAATTCTCCGAAAACTTGAAACAGCCTCGGATGATTGTACTTACCTGTTTATGATCATAATAAGTACCTGACAAGACCTTGCCTCCACCTACCACCCCACAATAAAGAGTTCATTCTAGAGGTTCTTTGAAAAATGAGATTTTACTAGTCCTTTTTGCTGTTAGAAATTATATTCAAGAGTTTTTCAACGTTTTTTTTATGAAATGCATTTATAACACTATAGGTTATATAATGGATTCTCTTTAAAAAATTTTAATCATTCGATTACTTAATCAGAAACTGATTCCGGATTGATTTGGATATCTGTAAAACAAAAAATACCCATGGTGCAAAGTATGCCCACGAGTCGATAAATCAACTGCAACAGGACTTTGGTATTCGTATGTATCACTGTTATAAGTTTTCAAATCAAGCTGAATAGGCGAAGATGAATTTTTTGAAAAGGAATATTCTCAGATATATTTATTAAAAAAAAACAGGATATATACAGAGTGGGCCTTTGAAAACGAAACAGAGGCTCTGTAGGTCGCCAAAACCGGATTATCAAAAAAAACTGAAACAGGTCAACTACATTTTCGAGGGGGACATCTTTCTAAAATATTTTCAGCCCTGCGGCGTTGCCACTTCTAAAGAAAAGAAGCAACAACTTTGATATTTCAAATGGAACACCTTGTATTTTATTGCATTTTTAGATTCTCCCCGAAGAGCTGATTTCATCAATGCATCACACTTGGGGTCTAGCTGTGATGGTTTCAGGGATATAAAGTGTTCAAAATCGAGATTTTTCAACTTTAACATTTTTTTGTGTCGAAACTATTCATTATTGGTCAAAACGGCTCTCATGTCCCGATCTCAACTTGTGATTTACTATCTACTGACATTTAATTGAAACAAATACAGGGTGGTTCAAGATTCAGAATTCTGATCACCCTGTATCTGTTCCAATTAAATGTTAGTAGATAGTGAATCACAAGTTGAGATAGGGACATGTGAGTCGTTTTGACCAATAATGATTAGTTTCGACACAAAAAAATGTTAAAGTTGAAAAATCTCGATTTTGAACACTTTATATCCCTGAAACCATTACAGCTAGACCCCAAGTGTGATGCATTGATGAAATCAGATTTTCGGGGAGAATCTAAAAATGCAATAAAATACAAGGTGTTCCATTTGAAATAACAAAGTTGTTGCTTCTTTTCGTTAGCAGCGGCAACGCCGCAGGACTGAAAATATTGTAGGACGATGTCCCCCTCGAAAATGTAGATGACGTGTTTCAGATTCTTTTCATAATCCGGTTTTGGCGACCTACAGAGCCTCTGTTTCGTTTTCAAAGGCCCACTCTGTATATATATAAAGAAATACATTGGGAATTCGCATTCTCCATGTGATGAAAATATTAATGAATTTTTGTATTATTTGTAAAATCAACTCATATACATCTTATATGATATTAGTGCCAAATTCCCTGCCATGATCAATAATTTTGCCACGTATATTTGTATCTGAAAACTGTTCCAAGTATCATCATTCACTGAAAAAAAAACAACTTTCATCAAATGATACCACTACAACATTATATAATACTATACTGTATCAAATATCACCACTACAAAATAGTATAATACTCATAGTTTAGTATAGTAGTAGTACTTTGTAGTGGTATTATTTGATGAATGTAGTGACTGGCGCCTATTCTACTAAACGTTTGGTATTCAGTACCGACTATTTCTCTGAGTGTTCAACGGTATTCGATTTTAACAGGTCCATAAGATTTTTCGCTGAACTTATAGCAGTTCAAACAGATTAATTGCTGTTCGTGACTCAATATCCGTCTTTTTTTCAATTGTTATTCAGAAAGTAAATTTATATTAGTTGAATGTTATCCGCGAAAAATTACTTGAACGTAATTCAGATTAGTCATTGAAAAAAATTGTAATTCACTACCACAAACTGTTGTTTCCTGAAAGCTTCCGCACTACTCGGAAATATTCAATGGTATTCTTTTTTTCAGCTGGGTTCTACCATTCTTAACTTATGGCTACAAGAAGGATCTAGAAGTCAAAGATATCTACAATACGACCAATTCAGATCTGTCTGGCCCTTTGGGAGATAAATTAGAAGAGTAAACACGCCCAACTATTACAATACAGATCTGGGAAAAATTACCGGCACATGTGATTTAGAAACCAGTCGACTAGCACAAAATAGGACAGATAAATTGCTTGACAAATTATGTGGGCCACCTAAATATTTCACCCAATTATTTTTTTTATCTCTTGGAGCGCACGAAAGGAAATTCCTATAATGTTCGAAGAACGTCGTGCGTACCTAGGGAGGATAGGAAGAGGAGGTAGGTGTTGGAATTTTTCGAAAACTTTTGAAGGTTATACGTTTTTGGGAATACTTCAAATGCCAAAGAATTCTGAAGCTTTGTTTTTCTATAGACGAACGAGTTTTGGTAAAGTGTTGTTCGACATAATACAAGGTTTGACAACGGAAAGTTCAGTGAGGGTTGCTTAGCTGGTGGTAGTGGTATTTCTAGTAGGGGAATGATATCAGAAAATTGTGAAGAGCATTTCCCGTGAAAGTATCTATTCATAGAAAATTTAAATGTCACCGACTTTTCTATGGTGTTCTAATGAGCCCAATGTATTAGTGAGTGTGAATCTTCTCTGGATGTAATCAGTATTCTGAAACTGGCCGTATCTGTGCTTTGGTGATTATGAAAAGCTGTTCCCAACGACAAAAACATCTCAGAGATCTTAAAAGTACGAGATTTCGAGACATTGAACCTCCACTGCGATGTTCTGTTCACACATGAATACAACTATTATAGAACAGCCAATGTCCGCCGCAGGCGGCAATTATCGAGATGTCCTTGATATGTCACAAAACTACCTTCTTCCTAGTTCTTTTTAAAGCCTTTTCATGGACACAACAAAACATTTTCAATGCGTCTTGCGCACATTAAATCGCTGTAAAAAGCCATTTTCGAGGTTCTTTTCTGAAGCCTATTGTCAAAATGAACTTTTGCATTAGGATTCCATTTCCCTTGAATGAAAAAATGCATTAAACATAGATTGAACAAAAAAATATTTTCTTGATATGAAATTACCTTCTAAATCGGTTTCTGAGTAGTGCTTACTACACACAGACATATAATTGGAAATAGGTTTCCCAATTGTTGAAATGTTCTCCACAATGCATAATTTTGCAACTGTGGAGAAGCTGTGTATTGATAAATTCGTACTTTTATATATTGAATACACTGAGACACCGAGCAACACATCTTGCATCTGATGGTCATTATTACAAACTAAATAAGTCTTCTAACACAATAAACTTCACCAAATTCCTTTCTGTTCGTTAGCAGCGTGATGTAAGCGTGACACGCTGCAAACGCGCATGCCAATTGCGAACAAGAAAAACAAAATCGGAAACAAATCAGAATTCACCGTATTGTGACGTAAGCATGAGACGTTGTGGTGGGGCAAACAAAGAAAGGGCACAAAAGAACAAAACCAATATTTTCAATATCCTTCTAAGACCTCTTTGGGAAGTGCTTACGCCTCAAAAAAACATCCTCATGCCTACATTTCTAAAACATCCCAAAACATATCCCAGGGATACCTCTCAGTAGGCAAACAAAGAAATGCCACAGAAGAACAAAAACAATACTTCAATATCCTTCAAAGACCTCTTTGGTGTCAGTGCATATTACGTCTCAAAATAACATCTTCATGCCAACATTTTCAAAACATCCCAAAACATCCCAGGGATGTTTGTGCTCGCTGGGTTGAGATGTAAGTAGATTTTCGGGGACGGAATGAAAATTTGAATTTTTGTGAAACAAATATTCTTGATGGATCGGACATGATTCTCCCATTGAAGAGAATTGCTAATGGGAATACCGAGCATCGATAAATAGGTCTTGTTGTTGTATCAGGCATACTGAGTTGAAAATACAGGCTTAAGTTTTGAAAGCGTTGAATTGAACTATAGGTTATTGGTTCCTCAGGCTGCGATTCACGCAAGATCTTCATTAATATCGTTGACTTAAACTCGTCGTAAGTTCTTTGTTTCCTGGAAAAAAATGGGAATTCTAGGAGTGAACTATAGCGTCTGCAAAGCTGTGGATAGGGTTAGTGGTTACTCCTAACAGATCATTGATATTTATAAGGAACAATGTTGGTGCCAAAATTGATCCTTGTGGAACGTCGGAATTGATGCCACTGGTATCAGCCGATACTCTGTCCCACCACCAACATGGAGCGATCTGCTCGAAAGAAAAATCGATAAAAGATCCATATCTGGAGTGGTAAGCCGTATGATGGTAGTTTGTGAAAGAGTTTTTGGTGCCAAACACGGTCAAATGCCTTCGATATATCCAACGCCACAGCTAGAGATTCCCCATATTTTTTTGAGCTTTCCATTTATATGGGTGACGTATGGGCAAGTAAATCTCCTCGGTGACGAAAGGAATATTGTATATCATCAATGATTACTGAGCCTTCCAGATATTTGATCTAGTCCGATTCTGGAACCGTTTGCATTGTTTTGAAAATAAATCATGCGAAAGCAATAATTTTTAATACCTTGTATATTACTGTCGAAAGAATGAATGGTGTAGCGTACAATTATCACAATTTATTATAGCTTATGAAGAGTATTTTAATACCTGAAGGTTACTGATTTGACATTCAGACAGGGAGCATAATCTTAATATTGGTAAAGATATACAGTTAACATGTCATCAGAAGATGAAAAATGATAAGAGGAATGATAAAAATTCATTCAATATAAGTAGAAAAGTTATTCAAAGTGCAAATAATAACATTTGCATGACTGAATTTTGTGATTCTTGGTACCTCGAATCAACCTGTGAATCGATAGTCGCTCAATATCGAAGAATTTTATGTAAATACTTTCTCCTGTATCGATTTCATGAATAAACTATCTCATTTTATGAACAGTTCAGCTGCTGAAATCAATAACGACATTACAAACGTCATAATGGAGTCTGCTAGCGAAAAAATCTCGAAACCAAACATCAAGCAAACATAAAATGCACTGGAAAAAAATCCGAAAGTTTTTCCAAAATTGTCATTTTTGAAATGGGTCTATGTTTTCCCCTGTAAATCGGAAAACATAAACTTCATGGGCAGAGTAGGTAAACCATCTCATATCTCGAACGATTATTATACACAATAATACTCTTTCACGGGAAAATCATGTCTGATTCATAGCGAAAAATGCTTTTTTATTACGTGCGAAAATCTACTTTACACCTCTAACACTTTTCATGATCTATAAAAAGCACAGATACGACCAGTTTTGGCAAACTGTTCTCACATTTGAGGTTCTGCACCCAAACATACGCTGATGATCTTAGATTCCATCCAGAGAAGAACCATTCTCCTGGTGGGCGATACCACACTCGCTAATCCTTTGACCTGATTAGAATCGGTGACCTTTAATTTTTCTATAGGAATCTCTAACGAAAATGTTCCTCAAGAAGCTCTGCAATCATTTCATCACTAGCAATATCAGTCAGACAAACATGCCAGGCCCAGTCAGCACATCTTTTCGTTGTCAACCAAAACTCTTTCGTCAATGACAAAGCTTTAGAATTTTTTGCCAATGGGGAAATTCCCAAGAACTCATAACCTCCAAAAGTTCGAAAGAAATTCCAACACCTAGGAACCTCCTCACCCTATCCTAACTAGGTGCTCACGCTGTTCTAATTCCTATAATGCGCTCGAAGAGATATAAAAACCAACAAATCATTCCAGAATCGGACTTGAATTTTTTATTTTTTATTTTAGAGTTAGGTGGTATATTTAAATGGTCCACTTTATTTGTTAAGCAGTTTATCTGTTATATAATATCGTGCTGGTCAACTTACAAATTTTACAATATCTCACTTCAATACTAACTGAAAATCCTATTTTCCGGCAATTTTCTTCCATATCTCTATGTACTCTTCGTGAAAAAACTGTTTTCTTTTTGTTGAAGGAACTGGAAATATGAAGTGGACAGGGCTAGAAGCAACAAACAAAAACCTAGTTTGAAACGTGCCATATTCAAAACGTTCTGGAGATCTTATGCTGTATACGGATTCTATTTTTTTATACAGATTATATTTTTGAGGTGAATGCCAAAATAATTGTCTTGTCAATCTAACTCAAAAGCGCTCTGATACAAAAATTTTGAATACATTATTTTGCACGAAGTACGAAACACATGCACACGGCTCACTTTCATCTTTGAATCAAGATTCTATCTCTGGGTTCAGACTTTTCAGTAATATATATTTGTATACAGGGTGTTTCAAAAATACACGGTTAATATCATCAGATAGTTGGTTCAATCATATTATTTTGTATCTCAGAAATATCAAGAGAACCGTAATATTAGACAAGGAACCATGACGACTTATGGCATAGGTTTCCACGCTGTACTATAATCTATATGTATATACAAGTACGCGAGCAGTTTCCAGGCACTCTGGACTATTTTCAGACTGGAAAGCACTTCTTTCCCCATGAAATCTCTCTTGACGTTACTAATAAAGTACACTTCTGTTCTGCAATCCCTCTAATTTATTTGACATACGTCATGCATATATGCAACAATCAAACCGAATTTAGTATAAGTGAATTGTTGTTTTACAACTTTATTCGTAATACAATTTTTAGATCATTTCAACCGATAGTCCTATCTGAATTTATCGCTTTCTTCAAAACAACAGAAGTACAGAATTATAATTTCGGATTATGGACTGTAGGTAAACGAACCTATGGTTATCTACTAGCAATGGCTAGCATAGTTTTGGCTTTTTTGATCATGTTGATTTACCATCAGACCAGTTTGGGATGTCAAAGAGTTGGTATGAGAGTCAGAATAGCATGTTGCTCTTTAATCTATAGAAAAGTGAGTACTCACGTAGGACATTATTCAGATGTTTTTTTTATTGGTATAGATACAAAATAATTGTTCAGATTACCAAACCACCCATCAGTATTTCTGATTACGAATAGTTCTTCACGAAAGTTTTATCCATTCTCAACTTATTGCCCGCACCTTTATTTTTCAGATTCTGAAGCTGAGTCAATGCTCTATAGGCCAGACAGCATCGGGCCAGGTGGTCAACTTGATGTCAAATGACGTCCAACGTTTCGACACTGCTTCTCTCTACCTTCATTATATTTGGGTCATTCCTATAATGTATGCTTCAGCATTCTACATAATGTACAATATAATCGGTGTAGCTGCCTTAGTACCGATGCTCGCTATGATCATACAATCAGTACCGCTACAAGGTTAGATTCAATGTTATTATACAGATTGTTCGCAGAATCGTTACATCGCTGTGCTAGAACAATAATTGGACAACTTGAACAATAGAAAATTTAAGATGTCTGGTACAGAATAATTCTGAAAAAAACTGAAAATCACTGATTTCGTTCTTATTTTCTTTCTTGGTTGATATAATAGAGGACGAAATTTCATATTATGCGTAACAGGTACCTAATTAACCATGACAAAGAAGGGTGGATTGTAGTTTTGTTTTCCTTATGGGTGACTTATTTGTTTTTTATATCTACCATTGACTTAGGCTGAAAATTCCCATTACAGCCATGTACAACATATCGGCATTATTACATAAAACACCGCAAAGAAAAAACATTATATCACTGCTTAGAATTCTTCTGCCATAGTGCCCTACATTTTCGAATGTGGTAGGCCATACACTACACTGTTTTGCCACTAACCAAACCGATTTTTTAACGCCTCGACACGTGTTTCGCTAACTATGTTAGCATCTTCAGGAGAAGATTAAAACTGTTCTTCCTACATCCCTAGGCAAACAATTCCATGAGTTTGCCGTTCTATAGACAACCGAGTTTTGGTAGAGAGTAGCTCAACATAAATCTCTAGATTGACTACGAAAGGATGTGCTGACTGAGCTTTTCGATAGAACATTTGATGAGTTTCGAATGATTCCATTTGAGACGACATTCATCTATGGTAAATTCCTGATTGAAACATCTGCTGCATGTTTTGGTCAACTGGGTAGCCTACTAGTTGAAACATTTCTTTGTTTTTGTCGGTTTTGTCTTGGTTCCAGAAGATTAAGAAGTTCACAATAATGTAGATTGATTATTTCAGGCTACTTGTCTAGAGTCCAAGGTGTCCTCAGATTCAAAATAGCCCTAAGAACTGATCACAGGGTCAAACTGATGAGTGAAATAGTCTCGGGCATTCAAGTCATAAAAATGTACGGTTGGGAGAAACCGTTTGAGAAATTGGTCGAACTATCTCGAAAGTAAGTAGGTACCGTCCACTTGAAAACGATGTAAATTCATTTTTATTTTTAGACTCGAAATCAAGTTCATTTCCAAAACGTCCTATATTAGAGCGATTTCATTGGCACTGATGGTCTACACCGAACGTTTCGTCTTGTACATGACCTTACTCGCCTACGTTTTCATTGGACACCAATTGACAAGTGACGTAGTCTTTTCTATGTCCCAATTCATCAATATCATCCAGCTCTACACTTGCATCATGTTTCCGTTTGCTCTATCTTATTATGCCGAAGCCAAGGTCACCCTAAAAAGAATTCGAGATTTTTTGATACTGGAAGAGAACCCCATCCATGTCACAAACAGGCAGATAACTGCTGGAGATGAGGCAGGACTTGTGACAGCTGTCAAAGCGAGTGCCAGTTGGTTGCCTAATCCTGTAGTCAGAACTCTTACTGATCTCAACTTCAGAATAGAATCTGGTACTCTATGTTGTGTAGTAGGGGATGTAGGATCAGGAAAGAGTTCTTTGCTCCAAATGCTTCTCAGAGAGTTGCCTTTGGTGGCAGGAACTTTAGAAACGAAAGGAAGAATCTCCTATGCTTCGCAAGAACCATGGTTGTTCGTTTCTAGTGTGAGAAACAACATACTATTTGGGCAACCATACGTGAAAAACAGGTGAGATATGAAAACTTAATGTTTTTCTCGTATAAATGATAAAACATCATTACTTGCAGATATAACGATGTAGTAAAAGTTTGTGCCCTAGCAAGAGATTTCAAGCAATTTCTGCATGGTGATAAGACCCTAGTAGGTGAAAGAGGGGTATCTCTAAGTGGTGGTCAAAGAGCTAGAATCAATTTGGCCAGAGCAGTCTACGTTGATGCTGATATCTACCTTTTCGACGACCCACTATCAGCTGTCGACACGCATGTTGGCAAACATCTTTTCGAGCAGTGTATCAAAGGTTATCTGGAGAAGACAACCAGGATCTTGGCGACACATCAGTTACAATTCCTCAAACAAGCAGATATGATCATTGTTCTGAAGAACGTAAGTGAGGGAGCCTGTAATGACTCTTGGATGTGATTATGTAGATGAATACATTTTCAGGGTAGGATAGAGAGCATTGGTAGCTATCAAGATCTACCAGAAGACTTACTGAAAAATATGAAAACAGAGTCAGAAGAAGAATCTAAAGAGAAGCATGAAATAGAACATTCGCAATTATTAGAGCGATCAATGACAGTTCCCTCTATAGCTGTGAGTATTGGGACGTTTTTGAAAAGATTGAAAAGCAGGATATTTTGTTTTCAGAGTTCTATGGCAGAATTAGATAATGAAGATCAACAAGAAACCCAAGAACTTATAGAAAAAGGAAGTCTATCAGCGTCCTTGTACGTAGAATACTACAAAAATGGTGCCAGCATTTGTATGCTTTTATTCACTGCATTTTTATTCATACTAGCACAAGTAGCTTCGAATGGTTGCGACCTCTGGGTAACACATTGGTGAGTCACCAGCTCAAACTTTGTATTCTACTGACCTGGAAATAATGATTACAGGACCAATGAAGAAGAAAATAAATTTAATAACACCAATAGAATCGTCTTCAAGAGAGATAAAGGCACTGATATGCTACAGCCAGTTCATAATTCGACTTTCAGAGAAGGGAATTTCGAACCTATTGAGTTATTACCCTCACAAGAGTATTACATTATAGTCTACAGTATTTTTATTGCAGTATCTATCCTTCTCACGAATATGAGATCTATCATGTTCTTCAAAGTGTGCATGAATGCCTGTAAAGGACTCCACAATAAAATGTTTAGTAATGTCCTCAAAGCCCCAATGAGGTTCTTCGACACGAACCCCTCAGGAAGGATTTTGAACAGGTTTTCCAAAGATATTGGAGCAATGGATGAAATTTTACCGAAAGCATCACTTGAAGCTGTCCAGGTTCTTTTGGTCATGGCTGGTATCCTCGGAATGGTCTTCATTGTATCATACTGGATGATACTAGTGTCTGTAATCCTTGGGGTGCTATTTTACTATTTCAGAATCGTGTATCTTGCCAGTGCTCAAGACATCAAGAGGATAGAGGGTATCAGTGAGTTTATGAGCTACAAAAATATGTTGATAATAGAGCTATCGGCTTTGTTTTAGCTAAGGCGCCTATATTCTCGCACGTATCAGCTACTCTTTATGGCATATCTACCATCAGATCTTCCGGAGCTGAAGAGATGATAGTACAAGAATTTGATACCCTCCAAGATCAACATACAGGATGCTGGTTTCTATTTCTGGCTTGCAGTGGTGCATTTGGTTTCTATCTGGATTGTATCAGCACGGCTTTCTTATTTGTGTTAACCTTTCAGTTTCTGATTCTCGACACAGGTATGCAATTAGAATTTCAAATTATAGTAATGATCATGACTGCTCTAGGCTTTTCTGTTGATCATGTTTTTTTATAACCGCTTCATTGTGGAGTTCTTCAAAATTTCAGGAGCTAATGCTACTGGCAACATTGGTCTTGCGATCAGCAGCAGTATGATACTGATAGGCATGCTCCAATTGGGGGTTAGGCAAACCACTGAGGTAACTTCTAACATGACGAGTGTTGAGAGGGTCATGCAGTATACTAGAATGCAAAAGGAAGAAGAACTCAATGTAGCGGCAAACACCAAACCAAGTAATTGGCCTAGTGCTGGAAAAATCATATTCAAAAATACTTATTTGAGGTACTGTATTGACGACCCACCAGTGTTAAAGAACTTAAGTATGATTATAAAACCCGGAGAGAAGGTTTGTTATGGAGTAATTGATTATTGTTGTTTTGTGATTAATGTCTTTTAGGTTGGTATAGTTGGGAGAACAGGCGCCGGAAAATCAACGTTGATAGCTTCCTTGTTCAGGCTAGCTCCGATCGAAGGGACTATAGCTATTGATGATGTAGACACCTCCATAGTCGATCTGGAATACTTGAGATCCAACATATCGATCATTCCACAGGAACCTATACTGTTCTCAGCTAGTATTCGATACAATTTGGATCCTTTCAATAGTGCTGATGATGATGTTATCTGGAAGGCTCTAGCAGATGTAAGGTATTTGTTGATGGTTTCATCAATTTCAAGAGGAATTATTGGTTACAGGTTGAATTAAAAGGGGCCATAGATAGTCTTGCCCAGATGGTCAGCGAAGGTGGTTCCAATTTCAGCGCTGGGCAACGACAACTGATTTGTCTTGCCAGGGCTATTATCAGGAATAATAAAGTCCTTGTGATGGATGAAGCTACAGCAAACGTAGATCCCACGTGAGTTATTATTGCTTAACATAACGAAATGTGTATATCTGATGCCCATTGATATTTAGCACTGACTCCTTGATCCAGAAGACGATCAGAGATAACTTCAAGGACTGTACCGTATTAACCATAGCCCATCGATTGAACACCATCATGGACTGTGATAAAGTTTTAGTTATGGACAGGGGAGAGGCAGTTGAGTTTGCTCCGCCCCACGAACTATTACAAATTCCAGAGGGTTATTTTACGAAAATGGTGGAACAAACTGGCTCAGTTATGGAGGGACATTTGAGAAAAATTGCCGATGACGCGTATTTCAAAAAAGTATTATGATTACCATAGTTCCTTGAATAAGAATCTGTGATTTTACCTCGGATTTTACAACATCGTGTTTTTGATCTTTAGATTGGTTTTTAAGATGAAGAGTATATTCCGTGTAATAAGATGAATTTCCAGATGATCTTCGTTGTTTTCTCTTTTGCCATGAAACATTTTCAGGATACCCCGTTGAACAACGTGTGCACATTATTGATATTTCCAGAAATGAATTTTCAAGGTCAATAGACAGGGATGGTTCTCCATTGAAAATATTCAAGATGGCATATTATAAAAAAAAAACTATAGATCCGGAATTGATAAAAATTCATGTTTTATTATAATATCGAAACAGTTCACTTTATGTGATCACTTACCTCGAAACATTTTATCAGATTTAGAAAGATCAGACAAAATTCTATTCAATTTGCACGGCACACTTCGATATGAAACAAAAACGTTCGGATGAATTTCCAATTTCGACCTGGCTGATAACTCATACATTTTTGTTGAATAAGAATTAACAGAAAAGCGAGTAGTTGAGATCGAAAACACTGTACTGATTTTTTGATAATTTGACATGTTAGTTTTTGATCAAAATTCTAAGATAGATATTATTACTAGTGACTCTATTTTATAAATTTGTATTGAAGTAGCCTCTGTTTATGATTTAATGATGTGACGTGACGTTTGTTGATGTAATCAAAATATTTTTGCACTCAGGATGCCACTTCATTCCTTAAATGCTGAACATGAGAAAAATTAAAATGCTGCAATGTTTAATTCCATAGATTTCCAGACCCAAGAATACGTAGCAGTATAACCTCCACAGCTTCACATTAGGGATATTGTCTTGTCTTGTCGGTTTCTATCCAACGAAAATTTACAAAAAATCAATTCACTTCATTTGTTTTTGTTTCATATTTTTTCATTGAACCGGTCAAAGTGTGCCGTGCAATTTCAAAGATTCGATGTTCCGGGTATTAAACTTACCAGCAATATCACTACCACCAGAGCTGAACATGGAATCTATAAAAAACACTGAATTATATATGAGTCGGCCGATGATTTCAAATAATTCCCGAACGATCTGTAGGACTGTCATCCTGAAAATGTGAAAGCTCACGAAGTTTCTTGGAAATCGTGTAAGCTCTACCGTGGCACAAAACGCGCTGGAGCCTATAGTGTATATTTTTATGTTGGCGACCCCACTCGACTGACTGGCCAAACGGCCGATTCTTGGCGTGGCCTGTGTATATGGTTAGGAAGCGTGAGTCCAAAGAGACTGGAACGATTCGAGATGAACCAATGAATTTCCATAAACGCCAATGTTCCTATTCAATCCTAACCCAACTTGGTTCACCTCGGAGATTTCTCATTGTAAGACACACTGCGTGGAGGATTGTTTTGTATACTCTTTCACTGAATATGTTCGATTTGTTCGAAATTGTCCATGTACATTTTGACTACTGATCAAGTAAAACGTGTTCTAAATGTTGATATAGTTTCGGCGAGAATTTTATAATTATCTGAAGTGTTTTCAGTAGCCTGAGGACGTGTTGTAGATCTTGTATCTTGATTTTGAATCAGAAAATGAGTATCTCAATTAGCTCGCAAACAGTATACAATGTGTCCTAATATTACATAGAAATATTTTAACCACAGATTTCAGGAACAAAAATATTGAGAAAAATTCATATGAACGCTGGTCCAGGAATGGCCTCCTGGGGGGCTACAGACATCAAATGGAGAGCTCAAAATGATGGTTTAATGTGGATATTTTTCGAACCCTCTTTGTTGAAATAATCGAATTTTCATACATGTACTTAACATTGATGCAATTTTCGGCAGTTTTTCCAGCAAATATACGGAAATCTCAATATTTTCTCTTATAAATGGTACACTTGCTCAGTTTCGATAGCATTCACTATTTTCGTGATAAATCGATTTCAAAAGTCTGCTGCCAAATAAAAATAGTGCGTTTTCCTCAATAGGATACCGATTTTTCCAATAATTATGGTTTGATGGAAAATACCCCTTATTCAACATCTACTGTTGAAGTCTGATTCAAAATACAAGGGGTGCAATAACAAAAATAAATTGAAACATAATACATATAGCCTATTAAGAAACGATTATATTTTTATTTCAAAGCAGATTTTTGAATTCGATTCATCTAGAAAATGATGAAATGGTGAGTGCTATAGGTATTCTGCCCTCTAGACAAATTGCGATCGTCAATTTTGTCCGCTATCTTTTTTTTTATCGCTTGGAGCGCACGAAAGGGAATCCCTATAATGTTCAAAGAACATCGTGCGTTCCTAGGGAGGATAGGGACAGGAGGTAGGTATTGGAATTTTTTTTTGAACTTTTAGAGATTATATGTGTTTGGGAATACTTCCACAGGCAATGAATTCCTTGGTATTCAAGATATTACGCCTTCCTATATCCGAGCCTTATCAGGATATAGAAAAAAATAGTTAATGTATATCTCAATATGGTCGCAAAGAGTATTTATTAGAATATAATATGGATAATTTCACAGGATATATTTTTGAAGTATTGCTTTAAATCAGAGTGCTCGCGTGGTTCTCATTATTTCCACATCACAAATTCTGCATTACAAAAATTCTACAAACAAGAAATATGTATACATATATACTTAGTAAGCATCACATCTTCATCAAACGAGCACTCTATGATAGTTAGTTTTTGAAAGAAAGTATTTAGCCTGCTCACTATTTTAAAAAATTCTGACCATCATTCCAAAGGTGCTTGCCTTCCTTATTTCTGCTTGCAACCTGGGCAAAAATATATTTGTAGCCGCAATCTGTATGAGTAGGTAACTAACTACTCTAGGCTAATTCGTTCCAACATTCAACTCTGGCTTTTCGTAGAAAATACAAGTTGATTAGGCTAAATTATAGTTATTATACTTCGGTTATTACAGAATAATATATGTTTCAATAAGGGGTGGCTTCATTGCTAGGTTAAGTAACACTACGAAGTGAGTATGAGAAATTCACAACGGGATCCGCATTGAAGATATACGAGGTGTCGTAAAAACGATTTGTATACACATTTTTGACGATTATATCGAAACTTCTGGCAACATTGTGATACAAGTTTGTTTCTCCAAATACGGCCCTACATTTTCCAGTAAATGTGGATAATTAATCAATGGTTTTTTCCAAAAATCTTTAGAATCAATCGGAATTTTATAAAAATTTCAAAACAGCATTTCGTTAGGCATAAAATTGCACAAAACTTCGCCATGATTTTAATTTTTAATTACAAAAATGTATTACCGAGCAAATCCAACTTATTCCGTGTTCTACCTATCCCAGCAATATGGCCATCTTTTTTGACACACCCTGTATAGTGTATATTATGATTCTTATGATTGAGCGCATGATGCTAGAGTTGACAAGCCAATGGATAGCTCACTGACTAAACACTTCCTTTCTGAAAACAGGTAAACAGGATATACTAGATAGAATATGGGTCCCACTTCGACAATTTTAAGATATACAGGGTGTTTCAAAAAAACCTAACCCCCTTTCTAGGGGAGGTAAAACATTGCAAAATAAGTTGGGTTTGCTCAGTGAAAAAATGTCGTAACGGCATCCGTTTTCATAATACGATTCACGATTATTCCGAGAGTACTGAGTACTGGCAACATTGTAATGAAATTTTGTATGGATGTTTCTTGAAATCTGACACATCGCATGAATTTGTTTTTATATCTGACTCTCATAGAGGGCGCTAGTTACACGGTTCGTACCGAGTAGTTTTGAACATTACTTTTTTGAGGTTAGATTTTTCAATCCAAATATATATGAACTTGAACATCATTCAATTTAACACCAAAAAGGTACTCTTGGTGAAACTCGATACTATGTTCCGTTTTCGGAATATTTCGATTTGAAAATAATGAATTTTATTCCTGTTCAATTACCTATTCATTCAGGTTCAAAAACGATGAAATTATTCTTGTGCTGAAGTTATTGTTATTGATGGAACAAAGAATCATAAGTAGAAAATTAAGAGATATTTGACTAGAAACATGAAATATTGAATCAGTTAGAGTAAGTGTTCAAAATGTCATACGTTTCGAGGAATACACGATTCTATATTCTTTTTTTAAGAATGTATTATTCTTCTGAACAGTTGAGGATCAGCTGTTAGGTCATTTAAGTGATGTTCAATCATGTCTTACAACTCTTGACGTGAATTTACCTATGTAGCATAGACTTTCTGCTCAAGATACAACAAAACTATGTAATCCATGTTCTTATTCAAATTTGTTTCGATGTTATTCTTGTGATTCATTGTTAAATCAATGAGTTTTGCATCAGAAATGTATTGTTGTTCTCGGTTTTCAATAAATAGGTGATAATTTTTCATGATACTCACTCTAATACATAGCTTTATACCAGCAACAGTTACCACTTCATCATTTTCAAATCGAAATATTCCGAAAACGAAGCCCAGTATCGAGTTTTACCAAGAGTACCTTTTTGGTGTGAAATTGAATGATGTTCGAGTTCACATCAAATTTGGATTGAAAAATGTATCCTCGAAAAAGTTATGTTCAAAACTACTCGGTACGATCCGCGTAACTAGCGCCCTCTATGAGAGTCAGATATAAAAACAAATGCATGCGATGTGTCAGATTCCAAGAAACATCCATACAAAATTTCATCACAATGTTGCCAGTAGTTTCAACATAATCGTAAAAAAAAATGTTTCAACGCCTTGTATCTTGAAAACGAATGGCGTTACGACATTTTTTTACTGAGCAAACCCAACTTATTTTGCAATGTTTTACCTACCCAAGCAAGGGGGCTAGGTTTTTTTGAAACACCCTGTATAGGACCATAGGTACTGTTATTCAAACTGAGTCTCACTGCATATTGAATATCATAAATCGCACATCAATTTGATAACATTCTAACAACATTTATAGACAATTTGATAAATCTGATAACAAATAGATATATATAGCTTGATATTATGGCCCCCAGAAATTATTTTATATTCACAATGTTGGACATTTTTGATTGCTTTGAACCAAACGAAGAACTTCTATGACAAATGAATTGAATAATGAAAAAATAATATATGTAAAAATAATAGTTAGTTCATCCAGTTTATTGGACTGAATTATTACAATACATTCGAAAATAACGAATAACTTCTCCTTCGATACAAAATCATGAACGTATTTTTGTGGTTCGAATTCATAAAATGAAATTATAATTATTGTACTTCCGGCTCGAAATAATTCACTGCTGCTTCTCAACCATTAATAGTGCTACTCCTAAGATGGCGTTTGGAGTCAGTAATGAAGCCTACACAGAACACACATGGTCTCTGAATGACCTCTAGTGAGGTCGATGGCCAGTTGGTGCATACATACATACCAACAAGATACATCATACAGGATCTTCGAATAAATATGGGAAATCCGAGAGATTCCTCAAATTTTTCAGACACCCTGAATAATATTGGTAGCTACAGGGTTTTTTGCGATTTAACTGCTTTAGGAATGTCGATTAGATCAGAATCGGAAGAAATTAATTATATTTATGTGAAGGGTCACTATTGGAAGAATTGTTTAAACAATCATTATTATACTTGTACTTTTTGTGAAACTACTATTAGGTAATTATATACAGTGCCATTCGTTTGAGATAAACGGAAATTAAATATTAATTCATTGAGATCGTAAGTATATGTATACATGTCTTTTGAGCCGAATTTATCGTTATCAGAAATGAAAAAACATCTATATATTTGAGATAGTCCTTTGAATCTAGACAGCCCTGCAAAAAATGTCACTAGAAATTAACCCCACATTTTAAAGTTGATCTGATTTATCAGTAACGTTTTATTATTATCTCCTTGTTAATGAAAGGCACTGTATATTATATTTGGAAGTTTTTCTAGACACCCTAAGAATTTTTTTTAAATATATTTTGTTTATGCCTTTCTGGTCATAATTTTTTTTATTATTTGAGCAGATGTTTTCAGAGTTGATTAGACAGTTAAACTTCAAATATATTTTCTGTTTCTTTCTTGGGTGTCCATTTGTCTGATCGAGTGTTTAGTTTCTACTGATGAATTTATGATAAACATTCAAAGATAACTTTCATTCCTCATCCTGAAGAGGGGGCAGGACTTAGACCTAAGTTAATAAGCGTATAGAAAAATTGACCACAAATGTTCAATTTCAGAAGAACCTATTCATCTAAGACTAACACGGTTTTCAATAATCCTACAGAATAAGCTACATATGTTGATCCCTTAAGTTCAATAATTAACATAGTATTAAAAAGAAAATATCAATTTTAGATTCTAACCCAGAAGATGTCTTTAACTGCTTGGTGCGAACACTCGTTTTGGACACGCGATAACCTTTGTTCACATTTTAGTACTGTTTGAATTCACTGAAACCTACATATTGATTGTGCATTTCCATTGCAATTCCAAGCTAATAACCAAGCCATTGTTAAGACCCAGGCAACCAGATGACGTTCCAGTGACGTCTTTTCTACGTCACTTGAATGACCAAGTTGACGTCAGTAGTTGACGTCGCATGACGTGATAATGACGTGAATAAGTCACAGCCCAATGACGTCATATTAGTCACGTCGTATTGACGTCATTCACTCACCAAACTGTGACGTCCGTTTGACGTCAAAATGACGATTAAATTTGGCGATGATACGTAAAAAAGATTCCTTCAACATGGTGTGATAAACATCACTGGCTCCCGAATGACGAAGATCACCAAATTGGTACGTCATACCGACGTGATTTTTAGACGTCATAGATATGTCACTGTAACGTCATAAGAGTAACGGTTCCAATATAGGTATACCTAAACAATCCTTCTCATATATACATAGCTTGTTGGTTTCCGAGATATACAGTGTTAAAGTTTTTTAGAAAAAAAGTGTTCTCCTACTTTTCGGGTATATTAATAATTCCAATAAAAATTGCATGTTGATTGGCTTTCACTAGTTACACTTCTGTTTAATATGATAATATATAAGTTTCCATGGTTTTGAGAAGGTCTGGGAAAAATGGACGTCGACAGGACGTCCCTGCAACGTCATGAAATCGACGTCTTCTTTTACCCATCTAAGTGACGTTCACTCGACGTCGAAACGTTGACGTGATTATCACGTCATAGAAAGTACGTCATAGTGACGTCATAGATTGGTGTGTTACGTCTCTGACGAAAAATCACCAATTAGGGACGTCACAGTGACGTGATCATTCGTCATCTGGTTGCCTGGGGAACTATGTGAGGATATTTTTTCAGAATCGTTTCCGCATTTTTTCCTTATGGAGATAAAATACATTGAAATTATTCCATTTGTTGGCTAGCTTTAGCCATTCAGTGATATTTTGATTTAGTGATTTTGAGGTTGATTAAAATGTAAGGTACTTACATTTTGTGATCATCTGAAGAATTGCAGTGATTCCACCTCAAACAAATTCAAAACTTTCGTAAAAGTTACTGGCAGCTTGAGTTTACCATCTGATCCTCGTTTCAAGAATATCAAAAGTCAAAATCACATGTCAATTTTCTGTTTTTTTGTCAGGCTCTAGAATGAGATCTTCGAATTTATTCTTTTCTCATAAGTACCTTTATTGATTATTCAAGCGGTAAGTGAATTAGCATGTTCAAAGTAGGGGTCGCCAAGACAAGAATTCTTGTCTTGATAACAACTTCTTGTTTTGTCTTGAGAAAAAAAATAAATTTCGAAAAATTTTGTCTTGCCTCTTTTTTGACATATTTCTTGTCTTGACTCAAGAAATATCAAGATCTTGAAATTTTTTGATTGACCTGTGATACCGATTTTCATTTCATCAGTAAAGATATAATTACCTTGTCATGACCTTGAAATGCAGTAAATTTCATATGTATTTTTCTGTGACGGGAAAAACTTTTGACATATCATCCATGTTGACATGTGAGAAAATGTCACTATTCATGAAATTACTTTTTTCCCGCGAAAACAGTGAATACTTTCTTACCAACATATCAGTAGATCTCCTGAAAATTCAATAGAGCTGGCAACCCTGTCGCGTGCTAACTCTCACAGTTCTGGTGCAGAAGCAAACGACGTCACGCACTTGCAATGATGCCAGTTTCTCATTTCAGCATAAGTGATAGACGCACGTTTTAGCGTTATCATTCTTTCTTGTTTTCTTGACAAGAAATCTTAGTATTGACATGACATTTCTTGTCTTGTCTTGAAATCTAAAATTACTTCTTGTCTTGATCTTGTCTTGAGATCAAGACAAGATCTTGAAATTTTCAAGAAGTTGGTGACCCCTAGTTCAAAGTGAATGATAAATGATAAATTTTGAAGAAGTGAAAACCTGGATGGAGGATAAATAACAAAAGTATGACAACTTGCGTTATCGTGCGTCCGTTCAGTAAACATGGCGAAGCTGCAATATTTGATACGTCCGATACGAATATGCCCGTTACTGATAATCACCCAGTACTCATAGATATCTTCATTTACTTCATATTTTCTCTCGTACGTTCGAAGAGTCTTTAATCTATGTTCATACTCTGTGACATAGACGTCTTTATTATATCTGAGAGCCTCGTCTGCTGCTCAATACCGGCGACATCTGGAACTGTTTATGTACCACAGGAATCTGCTGCACAAGATTCGCCTCCAAACTATTGGAAGAACCTTCTCTCGGAGGACTGTGGATCTGAACCTTCACGTTGGATTCTTGATCCATCGCTTCCAATTTGGCGCTACCATTGGCAACAGCGTTCCCATTCGGTGAAGAACTTTGAGAGGTAGTTCCTTTTCTATCTTGGGGGCTCTTGTCTGACCTTTCCAGGGGGTTGGGAACTGCGCTGGGTTGTTCGGTGGATAATTCTGGGGATCCAGGTTGATTTTTTTGACGACTTTCCGGATCGACCATCCTGAAAGATTCCAGAAACTCGTTCAGGTCCACAAGACCGTCTTTGTTGAGGTCCATGAGCTTGCAGATCTCTTCTACTTGTTCTGTGGTCATGGGACATGGCATATGTTTTTTTATGAGGGTACAGGCTTCTGAGAACTCGTCTAGACTAATATAACCTGGAAATATGTAATGTGAGACTTGCGCTATACTACCCTATGGTATGGCGGCCTTACCAGAATTGTCCTTGTCGATTATGCGGAAAATAGCCTCTAGACTGCTTTTGTTTCGGTACAGGGTTTCCACTACTGAATGAGCTCCTTGCACAGACTAGAAAAATAAATGGCTCTGTGTGATTTCATTATCCCAGGTTTCTCATTTGACATTTGACCTCGACAAATAAAAAACTACTTCCTACGAAGAAGAATAACTTTGTATCAGTGCTTTCATCATACGTCAAAACTACAGTAAGTTTGCATTGATAAAAAGAAAAATGGCATATTTTCTGTTTTGTCCCAAATTCACAATAGTATTTCTTTAATCTAGTGCGCGAAATGCTACTTTGTTGATCGAGAACAGATTTTTTCTACAAACGTCAAAAAATGACAAGGTTCGCGCATTGATAACAAATTGCGAAGAAACACTTTTTTTCAGTTTCCTACGTTACCATGATTCCTTGCACAAAACAATTCGCGAAGTAAAACAGTGCGCGAAGTACCTACTTCGCGCATTGTTATGTAAAATATATGAGATATTTATATTTCAACTTTATGTTCCTCAATCGAGCAGACATCCACAAAATCATTTATTTCTGAATGTTCAACAATAACTTTGTTTTTTTTCTTGGAGCGCACGAAAGGAAATTCCTATTATGTTCGTGGAACATCGTGCGTACCTAGGGAGGATAGGGGGAGACCTTTTAAGCCAGTTCAACACTATTTTTCATATCGAGCTAAGCATATTTTCACTTTAGAGACGTTTGTAGAAAAAATTTTGTTTGCAACTCGAGCGCGAAATACTTTGGTCAGCATTTCGCGCTCTAGATACAAAAATAACTATTTTTCAACGAGGCGATTAACCAAAGTATTTCGCGCACAAGTTGTAAACTGAATTTTTGCTACAAACGTCGAAAAATATCATTCTAAAGTATTAATATGCTGAGCTCGATATAAAAAATAGTGTCGAACGATTGAGGACCATAAAGGTTATAATACAAAAATCTTATATAGTTCTCATGCAATGCGCGAAGTATGTAGTTCGTGCATCGTTTTATTTCGCGCACTGCTTCGCAAATGGTGTCGTGGTAACGTAGAGGAAACTGAAAGAAGTGGCACTTCGCAAATTGTTATCAATGCGAGAACCTTGTCATTTCTAGACGTTTGTTGAAAAATAGTTATTTATCATACAAGGGGAATAAGTAGATTTCAGCTCGAGGTTCCCAGCAAACATAAATTCATACCAACTGGCCATTGACCTAACGAGAGATCTTTCAGCCCATGTATGGTCTGTGCATCAGGCTTTGTTACTAGCTTCATACGCCACCCTAGGAGCAGCACTGTTGATTGGAACGCAACAGCGAATCGTGCGGAATCATCTCCGACCGAGGCTACGAAAATTCGAATTTATAACTCGTTTCATGAATAAAAATTCTCTGCCCCGCCAGGAATACAAGCTGCTAGTCGAGCGCTATTCTGCCGTTTTGCATTCAGAAATCGCCATGGAAGTCATCATCTTTGGCCATGAAATAAGCAAGTCGTCTGATTCATAAAATAGACAGAGATTCGGTAGTCAATCGGAGAATCGGATGTTTTTTCTTACACATATCATTTCAATGAAGGTGTAGTAGCTCAGATGGAATATGAGTTCGGTTTGTAACCAAGTGACAGCAGAGGACCGGGGTTCGAATCCCGTAACGGTCGTCTTTTTTCTTTAGTTGCATGTATCAGCAGACATGTACTGGCCCTGATGACAGCCAGATTCTCTTATTGGTACTGGGCCATCAATGTTCACAGGAATTGTGCTGTTCTGGCCAATTCTGGCCAGCATAAGGCCGACCGAAATTGTTTGCTGGGTTGTGTTGTCTCCCGATGCGTAGAGGAGGGATACAAAAAACCGAGAGATAAAATCTAATAGTTTCCCGAGTATAATACACAATTTTTTTTCTGTGACAGAAAAAACGACGATTCAATATTGAGAAGATATCACATTATATTAAAAAAATCAGTAAATTATCGATGTGGAATTTGAAGTTTTTAACTGGTGGTACACCTGTGTTTGCATCTTTTTGTAAGCATCTTTATTGTCGCTATGGGAACCTTCTGGAGTAATCGAATATACAGTGTGTCCCACTTACCATGCTCACACCATGGGTATCTTTTTAACGGTGAGAGATACGAGGTCATTTAAATGACACCAAATGTGGAGTTTGTCAAGGCCAACTATAATGTGAAAAATTATTTTGATGAAATCTATTCGTTTTTGTTTTATACGCAAAAATCAGATTTCGATCATTTTCATGTCTCCTCCGTAACTTCTTTATTTATGAAAATATTCATATAGGAATTTCACATTCTCATGGCAGTTTTTCAAAGTGATTTCGAAATAAATATGGAATTTATACCAACTCTTCTAGAATTTGAGATATCAGCACCAACTTTAGTTTTTTAAATGTTGGTCAAAGCTCACTATGACTTAGTTACAAATAACTTTTTTTTCTCTTACAGATGATATGTCGCAGTAGTAGTTTTGTGTTGATAACAACGGAGTTATCGTCATTTATAAAAAAACAAGAAATTATTCGGAAGCCGCCATCTTGCATTTATGAATTTTAAGAAAAAAATCATGACCTCCGACCTCAAAAACCCCCACTTACCAATTTTGAATGGAATCGGACCAAATCTTGTCCGCCATCTTAGAGCAGCCATTTTTTTCAATTTCAACAAGAATTCCATAACTCCGATTAACTTGAAATAAGGCAGGTGTTCATAATTTCGTTGGCAATACATTATGGAATTTTTGTTGAAATTAAAAAAAAATGGCTGCTCCAAGATGGCGGACAAGATTTGGTCCGATTCCATCGAAAGTTGGTAAGTGGGGGTTTTTGAGGTCAGAGATCATGATTTTTTGTTAAAATTTATAAATTCAAGATGGCGGCTTCCAAATAATTTTTCGTTTTTGTATAAATGACGATAACTCCGTTGTTATCAACACAAAATTATTACTGCGACACATCATCTGTAAGAGAAAAAAAAGTTATTTGTAACTAAGTCACAGTGAGCTATGACCGTCATTTGAAAAACTAAAGTTGGTGCTGATATCTCAAATTCTAGAAGAGTTGGTATAAATTTCATATTCATTTCGAAATCACTTCAAAAAACTGCTATTAGAATGTGAAATTCCTATTTGAATATTTTCATAAATAAAGAAGTTACGGAGGAGACATGAAAATGGTCAAAATCTGTTTTTTGCGTATAAAACAAAAACGAAAAGATTTTATCAAAATATCTTTTCACATTATAGTTGGCCTTGACAAACTCCACATTTGGTGTCATTCAACCGACCTCGTATCTCTCACCGTTAAAAAGATACCCATGGTGAGCATGGTAAGTGGGACACACTGTATGTCAATTTAATTATGTGTTTTGATGATAAATTGCGAACTTAATGGTTCTTTAGTAATTTACGTAACCGCGAAGTGGAATATAAGATAAAAAGGACTTTCAGTTCTTTCAGTGCATCCGGAAAAAAGTACTCATCTATGTATAACCTGTCAACAAAGATGAAATGTCAAACTTTTTTTCTTGTCACAGAATAAACAATATAAACATTGTGGTGATACTCACGTTCAATTTCTCGCTCTTGGAAACGTCAAAAGTCGTCTGATATTTGACTTTATTCGTCTCTGGATCTATGCTAACTAGCTTATCCTTGAGCATCCTCCACGGAAGCTGAAGTCCTGTGGCTTCCTGTAGGGCAACACACCACTGCATGATCGAAATGAGCCCTGAAAGTGAAAGTTGAGGTTGTGTCTGAATGAGGTTATGTCAACTGAAGAACTTGTTATTCTACTTGAAGTTGGTCAAAATTGTGTTGCCGGCAACACGATTGAGTCAACAATGAAAGACAGAATTATGAGAAGATATTCAGAACAGAATGGTATTTTGCTAGACTATTTCACGTTCACGTAGCATAAAAAGCATTTATTGCAAATAAGTGATTCATTCTGACAAGTACAGCCATAAATATTTTATGCCAAACTGACAGACTTTGCTTCTATAAGACGACAGCTAGTGTTCTCGTGATGAGCACACGTTGTTTCTGGCTGGTGATTGGCCAGATTATATGATGAGTGAAATAGTCACAAGTAATACCACAAGCTTCTGAATATCCGAGATAATTCCTGACGGACTCACCTGTATTATCTGGATCAGCTTTCGAGAAAGCCTCTTCCAGTTTATCTTTGTTGGACATGATCTGCATCTTCAATTCTCTAGCAGCTCCAGATTCCACCAGCCCCATTCTCTGGTAGAGGTTCAACTTTCTCCTGCCAGAATTCGCCATGTATCTGACGTAGTGGGTATCCAGTTCAGGGCCCACCAGTTTGAGGTAGGCCCCGTTGTTCGATCCTACTTCGTAGTAGTTGGATGCGGAGAAAATTGTTATGACCTGCAAAATCGATAATCAGAACTCAATTATACAAGATTATGATGTCGATTATTGAGCTAGATGCGATAAAAAACTTTTTTCTGCAACCGACACAAAAGTCGTCCATTTTGATACCAAAATTAGCTCTTAAATTGACGTTTCTATTACTGACACAAAAATAGGTATGTTGCTAGGAAACATATTTTGTTTCTAGGAGCTTAAGTTGAATTTTAGTTCCTAGGAGCTAAAGTTGAACTTTAGCTCCTAGGAACCAAAAAGGATGTACTGGACGTCATCAAGAATAAACAACATTGTGACGGTTGGTTATTTGGGTTGAGACGCATACCTGATTTGTTTCCGATTCCAGCAGATTTGGCATTTCATATCCATGCTGGAGATATAAATACACCTTATTATAGTTTAGTATTGGAATTATAAACATCTCAGTTAAGTATTTTTCTTTTGATCAGGGAAGCCTTCAAGATTCAAAAACTTGCTTGATCTGTATTTCATTCGTTATTCTCGGGATGGATAACTTGTTTTTGAATAATCACGGCAAGCAATTGTTTTTTTGTCTCAAACAACGATGTTGTTTAGCTTCATTTGATTATCAAGTCAAACACAGTGTAGTATGGGGAGGAATAAATAATCACTATTATCATTGTTGATTTGCTCACTAACCTAACATTTTCCACGTCTTGTTCCTATATAAGTAGCTGGCACTGGCGCGGTATTTGCCATTAGAGCACCTGGTCCATACACAAATTTGTCACTCTGTGGTTGTATTTATATTGAAACCACAATTCGATCATCCCAGAAAACCTAACCTGCTGTTAATGCAGGTAGAATATTCTCACCACATGGATTATTTGTCAATATTTGTTGCATTGCATACATATGGCACGGCATTGGTGGTTACTTTACATGTTTATTTGAGTTGATTGTTTCGGTTGCAGAAAAAATAGCATGTTCCATTCGGATCAAAAGTGACTTTGTTCGACTCGCAAATTCTGCTTTCGCTCGGCTTCGCTAAACGCTCCGCCTCGCAAATGCAAAATTCGCTTGTCAAACATAGTGTCACTTTTGATCCTAATGAAACAATCTACTATTTTTATTCTCCGAATGACCTTAAAAGTGGCTTTTAAATGACACTCAACAGGCAGAAACCATGTACTTCAACTGCCTAGGCAGAAATAGTTTGTTGCCATACAACGTTCCAAGTAATTTGAACCACATTATAGTTATCAAAATTGACTATGACTTCGTGTGAACACAAAATGATGGATTATTTGGACTTTGAGTGACATTGAAACGAATTTGGAGAAAATATTGTATGTTTCACATGACAGAAAATAAGATTCAATTCATGGTGGCGCTGAGCCACAATTTTTAAAATTTAGGCTGTTGTAGGTTTTCATCTCCTATTTGAATCCTCCAAATTTTGTTGCGATATACTATAGATGGTTGAAAAAGTAGTAAAGGAAGAAACGGCCTTTATACGAGCACTGTATAAATGAATCCAAGACAATTTCAAATTTCCATCTCATCACAGTTTCATCGAAATGGTACCCGAACTTGCCGCAACTTCGTCATAAAAAAAAATTCTATATTGCTAGGATTATTTGAGGTAATTTTCAATATTGCGAGAGAATGCAGTCCAGCACAAAATAATGTACTTTCATCGTTAACATAAAATCATTTTATCTTCTTTGGTCTTCAACATTACTATACTAAAATAATTTCACATTTTCCATTTTTCATGAAAGTGTTCGTGCTTCTGCCAACTTTCTGTTCAATCCTAGTCCCGGGTTCGAAACCCACTCTTTTAGTTGTTTTTTATTTGTCCTATGGTCTGTACCTTTGTCTCAAATGTCACTTCACATTTCATTTGTCATTGTCAACATTCTGTTACAAAATGGAGTACACGATAAGGATTTCTTGTAACTTTTTATCGAACCAAATTAATTGGTGGGGTACCCACATGGTCCCTAAAATCATATTTCTTCCGTAAGAGGCCAAACAATTTCCGCTTCATAAAAGTTTGTTAGTTTTTTTAATGTAAAAGTATCTCTGATATGTTGTTATTAATATACCTAGCATATTATATCTTTTGTAGGACAATTTTCTACCTTTCGACTGAAGATGATTGATGTCCGAAACATGTTTCCCTAATTCGTTTCATGAAATTAAACGTTGTGAAGATAATTTTGCGTTATATCTCAACACACGAATATAGAAATCATGTTGAGTCTTGTTTTTCCATTCCTTTAATATTCGTATTAATATCTTCGAAGGTTTGTCACTAAATCAAATGTAATTGATCCTTGATCCCCATTATAATTTTATTGGGTAATTATTCTGATGAGTTGATACAACCCCTATCTATAGAAGAGTAGGTATAGGCACAAAATTGGTATTGGGTGGTACGGTACAGACATTAATTTGGCTGGATAATGTTCGTCTGGTATAATTTATTTTATAGTGTGCCGCCTACAGGCGCAATTTTCTACAGAAATCTGGGGAATTTCAGGGTATGAGGAAGGGGTGTTAAAGCAAGAACACTTGATTAATGGTAATTTGCGATAGCAATGCGAACAAAACTACTGTTTGGCGCAATTGAAAACAGTGGCGTAATCAAAGATTATAGGAATATGTCAAAATAATATCTGAAGAAATGACAACATAACGATAAGACAGAGATAATGACCTATATGATATATCACCAAAATATACATTATAATTTGTGCGAACATATGTAATATAGATATCGTTTTATCAAGGGAGCATCATGATTTTGTCCACCAGTAAGTATAGTTGACATAATCTTCAACATCATTGAGAAAATCACAGAACATCTGGAAAAAGGCAGCAAAGTAGTAGATTGACTGCAGTGGCTGATAGTTTCATAGTTTGCTGCCGTGTGGAAAATATAATTTTTTCTCCAAATACTATAAAACCAATTTCGTGTAATTTTTTATTGAAAACTCCATCATTTTGTGTTCGCCCAATGTCAGTGTCAGTTTTGATAACCAATTTCATTCAAATTTCTTGGAACGTTGCATAGCAACAAACTTTTCCTGCCTGGGGAGAGAAAGTACACATGTCCTGCCCGTTCAGTGCCATAGAAAAGAAACTTTCTATGCCGCTTGGGGAAAACATACTTATGACTTGCTCTTCTAATTGTTCTAATTTTCAAATCATTTTATATTAATTACAACAAACTGAGAACATAAAACTGAATAATTCATAATATAATTATCTGATGGAGTTGTTGTTGCTCTAGAAGAAATCTAATATTCAATTCAAATTTCGCCTGCACCGAATTTTTTACCATAAAAAAATGTAGTTGAGTTTCATGACCCCCTACATCCCTTGGTCATCGTCCACCAATGCCTTGGTATTATTCAGAAATGGAAATGTTATCACTTTGGAATACATTTTTTTTTCAATCCAATGGCATTTGACCTTGAACCCGAAATAAATTTCGCCAGTGGCGCATTTTCACCATACGGAACTTCTGTCTGTGTTTCTTGACCCCTCCACCCCTTGGTTTTCACTGAAATGACGGGCCAGAACTCTGAAGGTGAAGGAAAATGAGCAGCTGACTGGAAGTGAAACAGCTCCTGGCCCGAAACAGGAAACCAAGCTTTTGGGATGCACTTTTAGCAATTGATCTCACGTGATTTTCTCAAGAAAGGTTATTGCTGATAGTAATCCCAAGCATCGAAAAGGATGTCTTCAAAGATATGGTTACTCCTGACAAGCTTATGTTGGGCACAGTGAGATCGGCTTTTCTAGAGAAAAGGCATGCTTGTGTTTTATTTGCATTGAAATCTCCCAAGTTATTGGATCCCCATTCGAGAATTGTTGCCAAGTAAATATTTATGTTGTCAACATTTCTCCCTCGTTCGTTTCTGATTTGCCTGGCTGGAATTGGAGCCCTGGAAGAGAATGCGGTATGGAGGGTACTATCATCTGCGAAGCTGTGTACTGGACATAAAGTTTCTTCCAACAAATCGTTGATATGGAGTAGAAATAGTGTTGGTGCTAGAATTGATCCTTGCGGAACACCAACATTTATGATAAGAGAGTCAGATGAAACTCCGTCGACCACAACATGGAGAGACCTGTTTGAGAGAAAACTAGCTAGCAGAGAACATAGCTGGGGAGGCAAGCCGTAAGATGGAAGCTTGGCGAGGAGTCCGTGGTGCCATACTCGATCGAATGCCTTGGAGATATCAAGTGCCACGGCTAAGGTTTCACCAAATTTTTCATGAGATTGCTGTCATATATGTGATGAGCCGTGCCATTAATTAGGTACTCTTATTACTCGATTCATTATGATAAATGTCTGTCATTAACTGTTGGAAATAGAGTAGCAATGCATGAATGACACAATAGTGTTGTACCATTGTTGTACGTAGCTAAAATTATGGACTACACATAAGAATATTAGATGTTGATAAACTACATAACAAGTATTTTATTCATTAACATGTATCTAGGTATAGTTTTTTGTGAAATAATCTGATCTTGATAATGTATGTTCTCATCATTTTAAAATCGAAGATGATTGATAAAAAAGACAATCTTTTTTTGGAATTTTGATACCATTTTTGATCTTGAAAAATTAAAAATGTCCCATATTCAAATTCTTGCTACACCATTAATCGGAAATGTAATATAGGTACAAACGGATTGCGTGTTTCGAATTTTTATTACGGGCATTAAAAGCACACGTTTCTCGTATAACAGAAATTCGATTTTCATGGAGCTATTAGAATATGCATTGATTGCTGCTCATAGCGTAATGGGATCGCAACATATCGTTAATTCTACATGGAATATATTGTGTATTTCTATTTTTGGCAATCATATCGCTAGGTTACGAAAGCGTAGAAAGGCCACTGTTGTGTGTATTTTATTTTATTTCTTTATTCAGATTCTAAAGACTGAATTCAGATTTTTTTCTCTAAATTCACACTTTTTTCTCTGAATTCAGAATGTTTGCATTGAATACACATTCACATTAGGGGAATACACTGATTTCAGTAAGTAGGTACCTTTAATATGTCATTTAGTATTGATAGGGTTGATGATCGATTTATTTTATTATTTATTATTTGCAGGTCAGTACGTCAAACCTCGTATAATGAATGATGTGATGCTTGCTCAAATATATTTATACCCTATATAAAAAGCGAGAGTATAGTTTATACAGGGTCCTGCATCTCACCTCCCGTCTTCTATAGCTCATAGTTAGGATTTTGATATTTCGCAGACTTCAATTGTATCATACGGCGCATACCAGGAAAAAAATTCGATTATACAGGTTGTCCCACCGGAAGTGGTGATAACTTTCGAATTTCAAATAGAACACCCTGTATATCATTGCATTTTCAAATTTAGCATCATTTTCTGAATCAAATGATACTATATAGGTGACATTTCAAACTTCAATATTGATTTCAATTCCATTTTTGATTTTCCATTCGAGTGTGCCATGACTATTCTGATCGAGTCTGATGTACTAATATTGTCAGGTGTAATGCTAAAAAAATTGAATCCTGTCAAAAATGTTAAATTTCTTGATTTATCACCAATTTAAGTTCATCAAAATGGTGTGGTGTACCATGATCCTGTTACACCCGGTATACAGTGTGTCCCACTTACCATGCTCACCATGGGTATCTTTTTAACGGTGAGAGATACGAGGTCGGTTAAATGACACCAAATGTGATGTTTGTCAAGGCCAACTATAATGTGAAAAAATATTTTGATAAAATCTATTCGTTTTTGTTTTATACGCAAAAAACAGATTTTGATCATTTTCATGTCTCCTCCGTAACTTCTTTATTTATGAAAATATTCAAATACTAATTTCACATTCTCATGGAAGTTTTTCGAACCGATTTCGAAAAAATATGAAATTCATACCATCTCTTCTAGAATTTGAGATATCAGCACCAACTTTAGTTTTTCAAATGCGGGTCATGGCTCACTATGACTTAGTTACAACTATCTTTTTTTTCTCTTACAGATGATATGTCGCAGTGATAGTTTTGTGTTGATAACAACGGAGTTATCGTCATTTATACAAAAACAAATAATTATTTGGAAGCCGCCATCTTGAATTTATACATTTTGACAAAAAAATCGTGATATCCGACCTCAAAAACCCCCACTCACCAATTTTGAATGGAATCGGACCAAATCTTGTTCGCCATCTTGAAGCAGCCATTTTTTTAAATTTCAACAAAAATTCCATTACTCCGATTAACATGGAATTCGGCAGGTGTTCATAATTTCGGTGACAATACATTATGGAATTTTTTGTTTAAATAAAAAAAAAATGGCTGCTCCAAGATGGCGGACAAGATTTGGTCCGATTCCATTCAAAATTGGTGAGTGGGGGTTTTTGATGTCGGAGATCATGATTTTTTTGTTAATATTTATAAATTCGAGATGGCGGCTTCCAAATAATTATTTGTTTTTGTATAAATGACGATAACTCCGTTGTTATCAACACAAAACTATTACTGCGACACATCATCTGTAGGAGAAAAAAACGTTATTTGTAACATTGTAACTAAGTCATGGTGAGCTATGACCTACATTACATTTGAAAAACTAGAGTTGGTGCTGATATCTCAAATTCTAGATGAGTTGGTATAAATTTCATATCTTGTTCGAAATGACTTTGAAAAACTGCCATGAGAATATGACATTCTTATTTGGAAATTTTCATAAATAAAGAAGTTACGGAGGAGACATGAAAATGATCAAAATCTGTTTTTTGCGTATAAAACAAAAACGAATAGATTTTATCAAAATATTTTTTCACATTATAGTTGGCCTTGACAAACTCCACATTTGGTGTCATTTAACCGACCTCGTATCTCTCACCGTTAAAAAGATACCCATGGTGAGCATGGTAAGTGGGACACACTGTATATGGTGTGTACTTGTGTGCGTATGAGTCTAAATTCAGACAAAAAAGTCTAAATTCGAGAAAAAAGTCTGAATTCAGAGAAAAGAGCCTGAATTCAGACTTTAAAGCCGAAGAAAAAATGCATTTCATATCTACTGAATCATTTTTGCAAGTGTCTTTTTTTCTGAAAAATAAATAAAAGCTGTTTCTTTTCAGACCCCCTAGTAGAGATGACAGGTGAGTTGAATTTTGTCAAGTACCTTATCTGTTCCAACGTATTTTAGTATGGCAGAGTGGCAGTGGATGTTTAGCGGCGATTAGTGAAGATCGTGTGACGTGACTGAGATGATATTTACGGTATTATTCAATGTTATTTACGGAATTGTTGTGGCATAGCTCGTATCCGTCTGGCTTGCACTCGTGGGACCTGATGATGTACAGGAGCTTATTTTCTTCCAGAAACCTTTTCGTGACATCCGGACCGAAATAGGTTCCCGCTCCTCTCAAGCTGTTTGGGACACACCCTGTGGTTTCTTGCGGATCCGACCACAAAATGTCGAAAACCTGCAACATCATTCATTCATTCAGGGTGATTGACTATGGATTTCTCGACTTCAACAGCTAATATCTCGAAAACGAAAAAAGATATTCGGAATTTGGAAAAAGTTATTTGAATGAGATGTCATTTCCTTCTAGAAAATGTGTTCTCTGCTTGATTTTATCATTTCATATACAGGGTTCGTGAAAAAATTTTTTTTTTTCAAATGGAACCCCCTGTATATTATCGCATATTTCGAAAGAGCTATCTTTTCTGATTTCGGAGATATATACTTTCCATATATTCTATCGAGGGCTTGACGAAATATCAGCAAAATTAAATATTAATATTTGGTCCAACTTAGCTATGGTTGAAATAGAAAGAGATGATGAATAAGTTAATTGACATTTGGCCAACATTCCAGTGACATAAGTGCGCAAAATTTCGACAATTTCCTCACGATGCCATATCCACTGGAACAAAGAAGAGATATTTTGGAGTGCTATTTTTCAGTTAATAAAAATCTTGCTGAAACACTTACACTTATACTTACTTAAATTTAATCTTTCAGATATGACAAGACAAAATTCAATCCGCTTCTCATTATCATCATAATTGAGTTTGTGGCATGGTCTGATTCTGAAATCCCTATATTTATATTTCCTTAAGGTATGTTGAACAAAATAATAGCTGAAACCAAACTCTCTCACTGCATTTCTCATTGACCGTGAAGGATCCTCAACAAAATACTGTATTACAAGAAGTTCCTAGTCTTCGTTGTCTTGCATTCTCACTATTCTCTTGATATTCGACAAACTGAAAGTTCTGTCAAATTTAGCAGCCAAATACTTTACATAATTCTTACTTGGTAATCTCCTGCCTGGATAACTCCTCATAAACTTATGAAGTGTTTCAGCAAGATTTTTATTAACTGAAAAATAGCACTCCGAAATATCTCTTCTTTGTTCCAGTGGATATGGCATCGTGAAAAAATTGTCGAAATTCTGCGCACTTATGTCACTGAAATGTTGACCAAATGTCAATTCACTTATTCATCATCTCATTCTATTTCAACCATAGCTAACTTGGACCAAATATTAATATTTAATTTTGCTGATATTTCGTCAAGCACTCGATAGAATATATGGAAAGAATATATTTTCAAAATCAGGAAAGATAGCTCTTTCGAAATATGCGATAATATAGAGGGGGTTCCATTTGGAAAAAAAATTTTTTTTCACATACCCTGTATATGAAATGATAAAATCAAGCAGAGAACACATTTTCCAGAAGAAAATGACATCTCATTCAAATAACCAAATTTCAAATATCTTTTTTCGTTTTCGAGATATCAGCTGTTGAAGTCGAGAAATCCATAGTCAATCACCCTGTACAGAGAGATTCAGACTCCTCGTTCTTGGCTCATAACATGAAAAGAAAAATGCAGATGCAAATTTGGCAGAGGGCATTTGAAATCAATAACCCTTTTCGAATTGGCGGAAATAACGTCAGAAAAATTGTTTGTTCCACAGAGTTTTTTTTTCTTCAAATATTCTGAAAGGAAATATATTTTTGAACAACTTTCATCCAAAAAGTTATTTTCTATGTTTATTTGATTGGACTCTGAAGTTGGTATTTTCATATAAATCTCAGCGGACCCTGCCGCAATGCAATGTGTATCGAGTCGGCCGTGTTTTAGTTTTTTAATATGATTGCTATATTATGTATCCCAATTAGAGTTTGAAATCCCGAAATCCCGAGACCGTGTTGTTTTTTTTTGTCGCTTGGAGCGCACGAAAGGGAACCCCTATAGTGTTCAAAGAACATCGTGCGTTCCTTGGGAGGATAGGGATAGGAGGTAGGTATTGGAATGGTTTTAGAACTTCTGGAGATAATATGTTGTTGGGAATACTGCCTCAGGCAATGAATTCCAGAGCCTAGCCGTTAGCCATAGACGGCGAAAGCCGTATTGTCTATCATTGATGATTCCTGAGCTCTCCAGATATTTGATAAGCTCAATATTGATGGCTTTCTCCATCACTTTGGAGATTACTGATAACAGGGCAATGGGCCTGTAGTTGTTGGGCAGGTTCTTGTTCCCTTTTTTGGGGATAGGTTGGACTCTAGCTGTCTTCCAGCATGATGGAAAAATACCCGACCTGTACGAGACGGTAACTCGGACGGTAAACAACTTGCAGAGAATCGCTGTTAATTCTGGTGCACATTTCTTGTGGATAATGGGTGGAATTCCATCAGGACCGTTAGCCTTATTCGTTTTGAGACCAAGCAAAGTTCGTCTGATAGTGCGTTGACGGGCATTCGACTCTCAACGGGTGGAATGTCTGGCGGCACTTTTCCTTGGGAATCTGAAGTAGAGTTTGCTGCGAACATCTCTGCAAAAATATTTGCCTACTCCTGCGGTGTTGTTGCTAATGTGCCATCGGATTTGGACAGTGGTGGAAATGAACTATTAGTAAAATTTCTTCCGACCGCTTTAGCAAGGGACCAAAACGAACGGGAGCCATTGGGACAATCTATGAGTTTCGATCTTATCTTGGCATTGTATGTTCCTTTCGAAGCATCTATTGTTTGGCTGCAGTTATTTCTGGCATCAACGTATTCTGCTCTAGTCGCGAGGTTAGGGTTTTTGCGCCAGCGATGGTAGGCTGTTTGTTTCAAGGCAACAATTCTAGAACAGTTTTTGTTGAACCAGGGTTTCGATGGTGATGGTCTTTTCGAATAATGAGGTATGTATGTGTCCATTCCGAGCATGATGATCTCGGATATTTCCGCAGCACACTGTGAAGGGTCCTCAGAGTCAAAGCATACTCTATGCCAAGGAAACTCGGAGAAAAACATGCGGAGACCGTCCCAATCTCCTGAATTGTAATGCCATATGAGACGTGGGGGTGCCGGAGCAGTTGATGGAATGAAAAATGGGCAGGTTAGTCCCGGGATCCTGAAAAAATTTTGATCCCGGCAAACTCGGGATATGTATGTTCGGATCTCGTATCCGATCACAGTATTTTTTTCTGACGGACTACGGAATCTTTATTTAATCTTTCTGAAACCGACAAAAAAGTCGTGCATTTTATGATTTGTTCCCGATTTCGGCAGATTTGGCATTTCACACCCATGCTGGAGATATAAATACACCCTATCATAGTTAATTATTTTTGTTCTGTTCAGGAAAGCCTTCAAGATTCACATACTCGCTTGATCTGTATTTCATTCATTCAGCAATACTTTTTTGTCCCACGCAACGATATTGTTTATCTTCATTTGATTATCGAACCAAACACAGTGGATTATTGACTTTGAGATGATTTGTTTGAGATTTGTTTCCCGGCCGAATTCATTCTCATTACGGTAAGGTCAGTTGAAATGAAAACGCCAACTTTAGAGTTTCATAGCTATCAACTAAATGAATATAGAAAAAAACTTCTCAAATGAAAGTTGTTTAAAAACTATGTTCTTTCTGTGACGGTAAAAAAACATTGTATATCCATCTGTTGGAGAATATTTAGTTATACTCTGTATATTCTGTATAGTTATCACCATGTGTAGTTGTTTAATTTGGGGACAGTAAGTTGTCAATATTATTGAAAATAGAGGAAAAGTCAGTCAAAAGCAGAACCTTTTTTGATGCAAAAATCTGACTAATCATAAGCCACATCTAAGCCAAACTATTAGCCAAAACCATCTCTGTTGACAAGTTATAAAATGTCACTTTTCATGAATTACTTTTTTCCCAAGCACAAGAAAAAAGTGAGTACACAAATTTCAGATATATATATCACATATCGTTATATATATATACACTGTTGATGGCTTTTGTTGTGCTTAAGTTCGGAAAAATAAGCCAATAACACCACTAGGGTCGCAATTTTCCAAAATCAAATCTCAGAATTGGACTGACAGATATTTGATTATTTCTAAAGAATGATGTAGATGCCTGCAAAAAGATGTCTGGATCGAAGGTGTAATTCCTGTTAAAAACCACGAATTCTCAACGAACATAAAACTCAGATATACAGAAATTGACGCGTTTCGACGAATTCCCAATAAAAATATATAGGTTTTCCGATTTTAGAGTGAATGGGGAATGACCCTTCTATCATATTTCGATAATAGGTGCACAATGCCAGAAAATAACAATCAATAAAATGATCTCTCGTAATATGCATTTATGTTGAATACATAATGCTTACCTGTTTCCATTCAACCTTATTGATGACTTCGGAGCCTGATGGAGCTGAGCTATCACCCAACGGAGGTCTCAACAATGATACATACTGAAATAAAGCGATGTGAAATAAATTCAATGAATAACATTGATTGTTTACAGTATAGGAAACTAAAATAGGGTAACTCCATTCGACTGTTCTGAAGCTTTTGTACAATGATTGGAAAGATGTTGATATAAAATGTTGTTGTCATTTGTATTATACAGTGTCATTCATAAATTCGGCATCATATGAAAAACAAAAATGAAGATTATGAAAAATGGCCTCTACTCGGTCGGGGTCTCGTAGCTTTCCCTTTATGTATACATATTTGTCTAAAATTACATTTTTCCAAATATATCGTTGAAAATAGGCTTATATTCCTCCTGCATAGAAAAGTACACTACTTTCTTCAGACCATCTAAACTAACTCGGCCTAAATGAACCTCCTTTCTAGAAAGAAAGTACTTTTTTCAGGCAGGAAGGAAAATATCCATCCTGCATAAAAAATGACACTACTTCTTCAAACTATCTAACCTTAATCGGTCTAAATGACACTTCTTCCTAAAAATTCTATTGTTGGGAAAATTACTCGAGAAAACAGGATTAAAAAAAAGCCAACCGTCGCAGGCATTGAACCCGGGTCGCCGACGTGGGATTCAGAGGCACAGTCAACTACAACAAGAGTCGTAGTAACTATGGTAGTATGAAGAAAGCATTTAGTCGCTATATTGTTGTTGTTTACCTGCAGTCGTAGGTTTCATGCCTTGAACAGGAGAAGAGTAAAACGGAACAGTAAATCTACTATTTAAACCAGTAGGTCTGGCAACTCTGCTGAAGGTGCAGGTGCAGCTGACAAAGACATATATAGGCATACAAGCGTGTTTAGCCGTTTTACTGTCATCTTAGAAAATGCCTACTTCAAAAAGTTGTAACGAGAAGTGCCTCCATCTTGGAAATATTCTCATTAAACAGGACAGGTGTAAATTCCAGGAGAAACTTTTCAGGTACGCGTGAATAGAAACGCCTTCTCGATTGGCTATTAGCAGTGGTTACTTAGTAGTTGATTAGTAGCTGATAGCCTATTATAATCAACTCGGTCCAAGCTACCTGAAGTTATCGATTAATTAGATCTAGATCAGCGGTTTGCGAATGCGATGGAAATCAGATGCGAAAATGCGATTTCCTCTGCTGGAAATGACATAATTCCTTCAGCGATATCGCACTACTCTCTCATGCTTTCAATGCAGATTGCAGATATTCAGATATCCGTATACGGGCATTATTACACGTACGGGTTGAACATAATATGTATAGGCGGCTGAATTTAAGATCGCTGCGCCAAAGTGGGCGGTTGTGGAACTATATGAAAGTTCATTGTTTTGAAATGGTCTATTGGCTTGTGTGTATTATTACAATGTTTCAAAGTGATTTCAGCAAAGGAAACTGTGTATTTGTGTACTCTTGTGATTCGAGGAAGCTTCTCAGCAGATATTCGTTCAATACAGTAGGATAAATGCAGTGGTTCTCGACCAGTTGACCGAAATCGCAACTATGAGAGTGGCAAATTCGTGTAAAAGCAAATTACATTGTAACACTAGTTAGTGTATACCGATTCCTTGATAACTCGAAAGTAATTTGTGAATGTGTTTCAAGCGTTTTTTTGCATTCAACTTTCGTAATCGTTTCAATAATCCATCGCAATTGGGACCGTTTGCCAGAAGTTGAGGCTATATAAACTGTCTATACTTGAATTATGAAGCACTCTTTCAAAAAAGTTGTTTCATTTCTGCAGTAGCGCGAAAGTCATATTTTCAAATCCACCTTGTGCGTAGAAGCCTGGCAAAGAAATAGGTACACTATTTAATTATTCATGGATATAGTCAACTTTAGAATTCTAAGTTGGGTAAGACATTGCAGTAGCATTTTCAAGGTGGCAAGATGTAGTAGTTCTCCGTTTTCCACTTCCGTGGTAGATAAATGGAACGTTTTTATTTACATAAAATGCATTTTGCATAGACATGATTTCGCCCGGAATAATTCCGCTTTGCAAACGAAAAACATTCAGAGAGAATTTACATGAGCTTGTGGCAGTAATGACTTGAATAATGTCGAAGGAAAATACTTGAGGACGAAAGATGAAAATAGACGTGTTCGCTACAGCCACGTGAAATCCTGTTCCTTTCAGATAAAGTCTATTTGCCGCCGTTTTTAAAATCTGATACCGAGGGAGAGCATTCTATATCTGCCAGAGCCCCAAAGGGTTCGCTGCAGTTGATGAAAAGTTTTAATTTCTCATGCATGTTCCCAAATGGGGAGATATTTTTTTACAATGAGTGTTACTAACTGCAGTGACGGAAGCTCTTTTTCAGCACTTGAAAAAGAAGAAAATTACTTGCGCTCCACACTTCGCCAGCAAAAACTTGCAGCGCTCTCGATAATATGTACATAATATAGAATGTGATATTTAACATACCATTGAATTTGAAAAAAATGTGAAAAGATTTGCAAACGATAAAGCACGAAAAAGGACTTGAATTCACTACACTGTTTTACCACTAACCAAACCGATTTTTTAACGCCTCGACACGTGTTTCGCTAACTATGTTAGCATCTTCAGGAGAAGATTAAAACTAAATATCCTATTCTAGTGTGCTGCTTATATACTAGGTATATGTTCACCCAACTGTGAAAAATACTAACGTCAAGTTAATGTTTGTCATGGTTGAGTTCACATGTTAATCTTAATTTTTATTTTACTAAACTATATAGAGGTCCATTATCCTTATTCATCACTCTATAACTCTCTCTCTAGTTATAGAGTTATCTCAGGTATCTCAGGTTAGGTTACTAGATCTGGTAACATATCTTAGGTTGGGTTACTAAATCTGGTAACATATCTCAGGTTAGGTTACTAGATTTGGTAACATATCTCAGGTTAGGTTACTAGATCTAGTAACATATCTTAGGTTAGGTTACTAGATCTAGTAACATATCTCAGGTTAGGTTACTAGATTTGGTAACATATCTCAGGTTGGGTTACTAGATTTGGTAACATATCTCAGGTTGGGTTACTAAATCTGGTAACATATTTCAGGTTAGGTTACTAGATCTGGTAACATATCTTAGGTTGGGTTACTAGATCTGGTAACATATCTCAGGTTAGGTTACTAGATCTGGTAACATATCTCAGGTTAGGTTACTAGATCTGGTAACATATCTCAGGTTAGGTTACTAGATCTGGTAACATATCTTAGATTCATTATTCCTTTTTTTTTTTTTTCTTCTTGCATATTTTTTTTTATTATTTTTTTGATATTTTTCTCGGGATTTTTTTTTTGGGATTTTCTCTCTCTCTAGTTATAGAGTAATGAATAATGATAATGGACCTATTCCATATAGTCCTCTATATAGTTTAGTATAATAAAAATTAAGATTAACATGTGAACTCAACCATGACAAACATTAACTTGACGGTTAGTATTTTTCACAGTTGGGTGAACATATACCTAGTATATAAGCAGCACACTAGAATAGGACGAAGATGCTAACATAGTTAGCGAAACACGTGTCGAGGCGTTAAAAAATCGGTTTGGTTAGTGGTAAAACAGTGTAGTGTATTATCGTGCCAAAGGTTCCAGTCTTCGATATAGGACTTGAATTATTAATCAGTTACAAAAATTTTCCACTTGTTATGCCTCCCGCATTTTTCAAAAAGAACAACAGAAGTGTGAATATTTTGAAAATAGTTGGTCGAAGCAACTTCACACACTAGATGACCACGCTCATGGTCAATGGCCAATTATTGTCATGATTTTGGTCGTATAATGCGTGAGGTATGTCGTGCAGAAAAAAGGACAACGTAGTATAAACCATGTTTGAATGTTCACACTAGTGGCACTTGTTGACAAAGTCAAAACCAATATACTACTTTTTAGCCTAGGGCGGTCGAAACTCTTGATCAGTCGCTGAGGACTGTCATTCTAACCCATTTTTTCCTTGTAAACTCCGAAAATAGATACCACCCGTTGATCTGATCGCTATTTATTCGCATTCAGCCAACGGCTTTCTATATGAAATCTCGATCGACCGATCAGGACTAGGGGTGGGGAAAATTATCGATATATCGATAATTATCGATAATTATCGATAATTATCGATAATAATTTGGAGAAAAATTATCGATTTATCGATATTATCGATATTATCGATAATTATCGATATTATCGATATTATCGATATTATCGATATTATCGATATTATCGATATTATCGATATTATCGATATTATCGATATTATCGATATTATCGATATTATCGATATTATCGATATTATCGATATATCGATATTATCGATATTATCGATATTATCGATATTATCGATATTATCGATATTATCGATATTATCGATATTTTCGATATTTTCGATATTATCGATATTATCGATATTATCGATATTATCGATATTATCGATATTTTCGATATTATCGATATTATCGATATTATCGATATTATCGATATTATCGATATTATCGATATTTTCGATATTTTCGATATTTTCGATATTATCGATATTATCGAAATAATCAATAATGTCGATGATATCAAAATTATCGGAATTACCGATATAACCAATGATATAAAAATTATCAAAATGAATGAGCATCAGAAAAATAGGTATTTTTGTTTCTTATATGGAACACCCTGAATAAAACAGATACTTGTTGGTAAGAATTGAAGTAAGAATGAAGAATATAATAAGACACGCCACCCTGTACATCAGCCCTGTTCAAACAACATAGGACTCCAGCACAGCAACTTGCATGAAGCTATCTGACATCTGGCAACGTGGCAACCCTTATTAGTTGTGGTGGCAAAATTATTGGTTAGTTATGTGTTGAACGAGTAACAAGTATCAAGTAAGGTGGGTTATCTAATTATATGGAATATTTTTATTTCATCATTCGATTGCTCATTCCTTGAAAAATAACATAATGACAAAATGGCTTTGTTTATTATACCTACGTAGAAACCAGAAAGTAAATATAAAAAATTAGTTTTATAAAAATACCCTTGTCACGACTAGAAGTGGGAAAAATTATCGATATATCGATAATTATCGATAATAATTTTTAGAAAAATTATCGATAATATCGATAATATCGATAATATCGATAATATCGATCATATCGATAATATCGATAATATCGATAATATCGATAATATCGATAATATCGATAATATCGATAATATCGATAATATCGATAATATCGATAATATCGATAATATCGATAATATCGATAATATCGATAATATCGATAATATCGATAATATCGATAATATCGATAATATCGATAATATCGATAATATCGATAATATCGATAATATCGATAATTATCGATAATATCGATAATATCGATAAATCGATAATATCGATAGATTATGATTATCGATAATCGATATTTCAAAATCATTATCGCCCACCCCTAATCAGGACTGACAACTTTATATTGGAGTTTTGATTGAAGTGTCACCTGGGGCACTGAACAATATGATTGAACAACGTACACGCACATGAGCGTCCGATATCTGTCAGATTTCGTCATTAGTCATGACACGGAGATAATCAACATGCTGCGTACCTAAGTGTAATGATGAATGAACCGAAGCGAAATTTACGTGCTATATGTCATGTCATGCGTTTGTTTACAGCCAGCATGCAGCAAATTAAATGAAATGCATTCAACCATACATGTTCATAAAATGTTCTGTACAGGGTGGCCAACTAAGAATCCAGAGTTCGATACCTCTGTTGTCTTGAGAGATACAAAAAAAAGTTTTACATTCAAATTAAAGTGATAACCGAGCCTCACATATCAAAATTTCTTTGAAATACACAGGGTGGTCCGTAAGGTCACAGCACATCAAAGCTATGTTTTTTTCATTGGAACACCCTATATTTTATTTCATTTTTGAATTCTCCCTGAAGATCTGATTTCAATGACCCATCATATCTAGGGTCTAGCAGTGAAAGTTACTGACATATAGGACCAAAAGGCAATCAGAATTACTTCTCGGATTATAACGTCATTATTTGTAGAGAGAATCATATAGAAGCAAGGGTGAATTTCAGGATTCCTTCAATAATCACATGAGTGATGCGAGAATGAGATCGTACCATATTCATTCTGAAAACATATAAATAATAATTTCAAAATTTCCACCGGATTTAGGAGTAGGTACCTATGTGAATTTGGTGGAGTACTAAACTTTATCATAATAATTGCTTGTGGCATTTTTCCATGAAAGCGCGTACGGTGGTACTAGCCTCAGTACCTTTGAGCTAGCCCATGATGCATACTACAGTAGTTTCAACGCAGTTTATTAGAGAAGAATGTTTTAAGAGCTGATCTCGGTCTTGTAGAACCGACCCGTTCTGCTGTGTGAGCATTTTCCATATATACCTGGAATAATTTAATCCCTATTTTTGTAATAAACAACTTGGTACTGAACTTTTGATGGATCACATGAAGAGCAGAGTGAACTCCCAATATCTGCCAAGAGAAAATCGACAGCTTGCAACTAGAATTAGTGGTACTGTGTTGGTTGAATGTGTCACGATATCACAAACTACAACATACTATAATTCCAAAAACCCATAAGAGTGGTGCGGGGTTCTTTAACAAAATGAACTAACTAGGCCACTGTTTAACGAAAGTGAAAAATGAAAACGCCAAGTGATTATCTTCATTATTCTATCTGGAATAGGTAGCACAGGATTGTGGAGAAATTGGTATAAACCTTTATTTTTGTACTTTTGACACCCTGTATCTCAGAGAGGATGAATTTTAAGACATACGTCGATTGGAGCTTTTCGCCTCAAAATGATGTAAGGAATCCCTTTATATACAAGGTTTTGTCGGTTCTATTTTGACTCGCTCTGTATAGTCCCTTCTATCATTGAATTTCATCAGTAGTGTATGCCAATAAAATTTTTTCGAATCACCTTTAGATTTATCTGTAGCCCGGTCCGTACAATGTGCTCACTTTCCGTATTGGTGGGTATAGATGATGGGAGGGTTATTTTCGTTTTGTGGAAAGAGTAGAAGTGATGGAATTTTTTGGTAGATTTTGTTGGAATCGTGTCACGATTGTGCGTCCGAAAAAAAATTTTTTTTACCAAATTTCCCAAACGCCCTGTATTGGAATGCCAAATATAGCTTGAATGTGTGCGAGGACGGGTAATCTCGCGTGTGGTGAAGGCAAAAATCTGGTATCGATGATTTTGGAAATGCCAAATATATCTTGCACGTATACAGGTTGGGGTGAAGATGATAAAAAAAAAAAACGTGAGATTCCGGCATTTTCATGGTGGCAAAATGTTTGTTGAAATTTTGTGAAAACTTTTTTCCAATAAAATTTTTCTCCCCCTCCCTTCCTAAGATTTTCGTGACCTTGAAATTTGGGAAAATTGATTTTTTTTCTGTCATGTGACTGTGGTGCGACACTGGAGAAAAGTCGAAATTACTTTCTCGTCAAAAATTGAGGTATCTGAAGATAAAATCATATACCTGATTCCATTGCAAATTATTCAATCTATCTGGAGTTTTTGCGAAAATAAACAGTGTTTATTAGAAATATAAGATGCCGAACCACAAATAATGAGGTATTACAGAAATGTTTGGAGATTATTGAAATTTCACTACATGAATATCCCTTTTACAAGGGGTGCACAAAATCACATACACTTATTCAGACAGTTCTGTATTGACTCACCTTTCCTCTATCTAAACTTCTGATCATTTCTAGATCCGTACAGTCAGATATTCCTCCGTGCACTATCAGTACTTTGTTGTTGACTATCGTTCCTAATGGCAGATACCTGTACACTCCCTCTATGAGCCTCAGAAGCTTCTCGTGGTTTTTCTGATGAATAAATACATACATAAGAAATACAAATCGATGTCGTAAGACCATATAGTAATGAATGCACAAAAATCCCTAAAAACGTTTTAGGGTCTGCCCTCGGGTCTGCCATATATTTTCAGAGTGGCAGCAATTGTATTTCTTCTATTTACCTTGATAATATTGGGAAGAAAATCTTCATTTCTAATAAGATAATCATCTTGAAAATGCAATACACGTGTCACAATTTGTATGGAATTATTAAAATGCTACACTCAGTACCAAACATGTTCCATATTACAATCGAAATTTGAATTTAAATAACATTGAATAAATACTATATCATTTAAATTCGTGTATTTGAGTTTGTTGATGTTTATGTTTATTTTTACTGTTGGTTGGTTGGAGTGCTTTCGTGAAAAAGTATTTTCCTCACTTGTCTGCTAACTGAACAACCTCTACATTTCATGCGAAAAAGAACTTGAGACTATTGAGAGTCAAGAACACGACCAGTTTCTGCAAATTGCACAAAAAAAAAACTTGCTCTTGGGAAAACAGAAAATTCTTTAGAAAATCTGTCTCTTAGGCATGGATTCTAACCATTTCATTCAAGTTCATTAACAATTTCAGTAGTAGACAATTCACCAACTGAGTAACATTGAAATATAAGGAATCTAAAATGTTTTGAAAAAGTAAAGTTCATGATGTATAGATTGTTCTTTATTTCGATAGCGCGTACCTATGCGAGCGTTATAGTTTGAAAAACTTGTCATTCAGATGTATCTGACTAACCATGCAGCCTATTTTTGTGACAGTTTTATGATTATGAAAAAGTTGAATGACTGACCTATCGTCAAAAAATTATCGAACTCACCCTATATTTGGATTGAACTTCCTTGATGAATCCATACCTGGAACAAAGCAAGTAGCAAATTAATGAAGATGATCTCACGCGAATTTCGGATATACGAATAGTAAGATAGTTTGAAAAACAAATAAGGGCGAACGGCGTTCCCTCAATTCTGTGGGAAAGTTTCGAGTTTAGTATTGCGATTGTGAGTTGTTGACTAACAAATTCGTTTACGTAAGTTTCCGTTTGACAACTATTTCTGGCCGATGTTATCGTCGACACTTCATAGGTTTCTGTTTTTCATTCCGAATTTACTGCTCTTCTAGAATAATTATAGGGATTTGAGGTAGGCTGAATTTAGTGTGACGTTGAAATCCGTCTGCAGATCGAATACCAAAAAAGTTGAGTTTACGTATCTATCCTTATCGTGAAATCTCCGTTTCTCAGGAAAAAATGATGATATAATTATTGTTTTTTCACACCTGAATGAAATAGAAATTGACGTGACAAGTTCGGAAATTACTATTTTTTTATGAGTAAACAAGATTCTAGAATAAGTATCTTTTAAATACAATATTTATTCGAAACAAAATTTGGAACAATCAAATCGTTGTTTATATTAATATATTCTCAAAATTGCTAATATTGAAAGGATTTAACTCATTAACTTTTTCGAAATTTCTCGAAATATTTCACCAAATTAATGAAAAGAACATTCCGCAACATCGGTTCGTATTACAGATTTCAATGGTGAGCCTAAAGAATTTGTAGCACCTTGTATATTTAGTTTCGAAAGAAACTCACCTCTGGTTCATTATTATGTCCTCGTGATTGCCTCTGTTCAGATACACTGCTCCAGGTATGGCTAGTAAGCATAGCAGAAGTATCAGAAATACCTCTAAACCCCTCTTGCCCCTATCTATGAAATCTCCATTGAAAACGTAAGGGTTTTCGGCTGACGGAAGTCCATTCTATAAAAAATGTAATTTTTGTGATAATGCCAAAAGTTTAAGATATCTTTTCTTCAAAACTCTTGTCCGATTTGAACGTTTTTTGTTTTGAATGACACGTTATCTCCTACTGAACATTGGTGTGTAAACCTGTGTTCGAATAAAACCCTCTTTTTCACACAAGTCACAAGTTAAAAGAAGGGGTCTTCAGCGTGCATTTTCGCCTCTGGCAAAAATAACCTCTTGGTAAATATGGCCAAAACTTAAAATAAACGACCTTACGTCATTCTGGTCCAAGACTTCCCAAATTTGTGCCAGTCTCTGCCGTGCGTATTCCAAAGTATTCAAGTCACGTTCCTCTTGTAATCTAGTTTCAATAATGTCCCAGAGATTCTCAATGGGATTTGAATCTGGACTCTGAGCTGGCCATGCTATGGTAGCGAACCGACTTCCTCTAGATGATTTCTCACAATTCAGGCGACGTGAGGCCTGGCATATCTTGCATCAACAAATATCCTTACACTATTTATATGGTTTCAAAAATCTCCAATATGTACCTTTCAGCTGTTAGCTTTCCATTAATGAACACAAGTTCAATACAATCATTATATGCTATTGAATTATGTTTCTGGAGTAGGTAATAGAAGAGAGTGAATCCAAGAAAAGATTGTTTGAAAAAGATAAGGTCAAAGTGCAATTTCAATTTTAATCTGATAATATATAACTGTTTCACTCTATAGGGTTTTACAAATTTCATGAAATACACACTATAATTGTTACACCCAATATTCAAGAAGAAGAGGTTATTGCAATTATAGATAATTATTGATAATTTCTGAAACACACTGTAGGTGTAGATAGTAGTTTGAGTTGAGTTACATTATTTTTTTTGTCCCCCTCAATACATTTTTCTCCATCAAAGAAGAAATAGTTTCTTTCAGGTAGTTATGGGTGAATGTAGGTATACAGGGTGTTCCATCAAAAAGGATCATTATAAGTAGGCTTCTTGAACGATGATAGTCTTCTGAAAAGATGTATGCATTCATAATTGGTTAAATCTATCTCAATGAATATATATTCATTATAACGGCGCACTATTTCAAAACTCGAAATATTCCTTATACTGATCGATTTACACTTATTTACAGGCTATACCCTGCGGTCCATAAACGTTTATCTCATGCCCTTGATTAATGATAATTGAACAATTAATTTGATGTCATGTGACCTCTAAGAAAAAGATCGTCTGCGTCACTTTTTATTATAATTCGGGAGTGGCCCGCTTTTGGAGAAATTTCTTTCGGTAGCGTTTTAGGCAGGACAGTTTTTCATTGCGGATCCTTTATTCGTTTGATGGTGGTTGAGATTTAGTCGCGAAGATTTTTATGGATTTTTTAATCGTCATTATCTTCGAGTAATTATCTTAGCGTTCTTTACCCTTTCATCAAAATGCTTTCATTAATATTCTAGTTTGGATGGAATATTCAATTTTAGACTCAAGCATTCATCTCCATTCTGGGTGTAGCGGTATTCAATAGTAAGTCGCCATCACGTCACGTGAAAAATATCACCCAGTATTTCTTTATGTTTCACAGCAATGGCAGAAATTCCAGGGGACGTGGTCCTTAGGACTATGTTTGGAATGAACACCTTATCTTCACCATATATTCCTAGATGTCGAGACCACCATCATCCCATCAGTCATAATAAATTACTGAAGTTAGGTTAGGTTAGAAAACTAGGACAGGAAAATAAAAATCCCAAGGCTCTATCGTCAAAAATAACCCAGAAATATGGCAGTCTGAACCAGAATGGGATGAACTGTAGGCACTTTAGAAAATTTGTGTTTGGAGGAAGTGTATCGTAACTGATTACTAAAACGTCTTTCCAAATTTCCTCTCATGACTAAAACCAATCTTTGAGTATATGTAAGCACATGTATATCATTCACCGGCGCATGGAACAACAAAATTAGATAGGTACTTAACCTACTGAAATCAATGATTTTACCTTGTGAAGTATAACCAACAGATCGTCAAATTTGCCATGTAAATCTCCACACACAGTCAATTGTTTGGAAATCCCTGTTGAAGCGACGTTGATATTCGGTAACTTCTTTAGTGAACATATGGCCCTTTTGAGAATATCAGCTACGCATTTCGGTGATAGTCGATAATGCTGAAAAAAGATTATTTCAAAATGTCCTTTTATATTGAAAACAAAAGCAGATTCGTTGCTGAAACGTCCAGAGATACGTGAAATTTTATATTTTTTCAATACACCTTTAATCTTCTTCAGATATTTTTCAAACAAAGTAGCACTGACTTTCGATTGAATTTCTCTCTTATAGGTTACTAACTATACATCCACGATTAACCAATTACCAACAAAATCTTGTTTTGTTGAATGAAATTTTCAAGGAGGCGAATATTTAAATTGAATAATTTTGTCCTTTTGCATAGGTTGCTCATTTGAAATGCATATATATATCTTGGTAATTTTGCAAAGAGTTATCAATTCAACGACAACAAAATATTGTATTTCGAAGAAATCGCATTCAGTCTATCGACAGTGTGGCAGAGTGTAAATGTATTTGTTTTTTTATTGCAGTAATGCATCAATACGTCACTGGTAGTCATTTTAGCTAAAAAATAGTGGTTTTCCAGTAATTGGAGAAAAATCAATTCAATCAACTTGAACGTCAATGCTTCTGAGACAAATGTTCATGGGACCTATTTTCTATTCTGTTTCTTATATTTTAGAGTGCACGAAAGTGAACCCTCATTATATTCGAGGAACATCATGTATGGAGGATATAGGCAAGAAGGAATATGTATTGTATTCTTTTCACTTCAAGAGGCTTTGAGTTCTTGGGAATATATTATGTCCTTTGACATCAGGCTTTGACAAAGAAATCCAAAGCTTTGCCATTCTATAGACAAACAAGTCTTGGTAAAGAGTTGTTCGACATATATCGAGATTGACGATGGAAGAATGTGCGGACTGGGCTGATCATGTTCGTTTGACTGGTAAAATGATGAAATTTTAGTTGAAAGTTCACCGACTCTCCTACGAAGTTCCAATGATATCAAGGAATTGGTTAGTGTGGCATCACCAACCAGTTGAGTGGTTCGTCTCTGGGATTGAATTTGGGAGCATCAACGTAAGTTTTGGTGCTGAACCTTATATGTGAGAGCAGTACTCTGAAACGGGTAATATCTATGCTTTGTAGATTATGAGAAGCTGTTAAAATGTAAAGTAGCTTCTTGCTCTGAATAAAAATCCAAGTTTGTGTGAAATAAGGTCTTCTATGAGTTGCAGTCATTTTGTTATGCTATGAAGTTGACCATTCTGTATTGATAACACAAAAAAAAATCATTCGAAGTTACCTATACTCACTCGATGTTTTCTGAAAATTTCTATTAGTTGAAGTATCGCTTTCTCTGTATAAGGGTACTCGAGGTTGAAATGAGAGAGTTTTTTCTTTTCTTCTGGTTCGTAATACTCATCATCAGGAGATTCATCGTCAAATTCTATATTAAGATTTTCTGAAATAAAGAGGGGAAATTCAGTCAGTACACACTGTTCCACACAAATTGCATGATTTGATAAGAAACATATCAAAATATTGGAAAGTAATATTCTCAGATATATTATGAACATGAAAAAAACAACATATGAAGATATACATCGAGAATTTGCATCATCCGATAAAGAATATCAGTTCTTCCTGCCAATTATGCCACGCCGAACATTGAATCACAATTATTGAACACACACAATAAGAAGTTGAAAATGAAATCATAAATTGAGAATTTGCCGAGGAATTTGCATTCTCTCTCAGATAAAAAATTATAAATGTATATAATATCATTCGGAGTTCTCAACTGAAAATAACTACTTTCCTGGCTATTTGCAACGTCGAACATTGAAATTACATTTCGTTGAACACCCAAGATGAAGATATGAAAATAAAAATCTTTCTGACATTAAGAATTGACATTATCTTCCAAATCGGATAAAAAATATGATGTATAATGATATAAAAATATTACTTCCTTATATATTCAGTACCGAAATGAAAAGTTCAATGTAAGTATAAGAATAGTATACTAGTACAAATTCTGATCTTGATGAGTTTGAAGCCTCCAAAAATCATTAGTATCAGTGACGGGGTATCGAGGGATGCCTCTCTCACGAACAGGTTATTTGACTTTCTTAGAATGAACTCCAGTTATTCTTTTAGCCATCATTTTCAATTTCAGAAAGATATTCATTTTCATATCCTTGGGTATTCAACAAAATGAAATTCAATGTTCGATGTGGGAAATACCCAGAAAAGTAGTTTTATATATATATATATATACAGGGTGGCCATTTGAAAACGAAACGGAGACTCTCTAGGTCGCCAGAACCGGATTATAAGAAAACACTGGAACACTTCAACTATATTGTCGAGGGAAACATGTGCGGCGTTGTTTTTTCTATCGAAAAGTTGCAACAGCTTTTTTATATCAAATGTGTGTGTGTGTTTCTATATATCGAATACTGGTACCTTTGGCACGATAATACACTACGTTCGCATCTTCAGGAGAATAATAAAACTTGAGGAGACTCTTGAAATAAATTTCTTTGCCAGTTTAATGATTCATTTTGGATTTATTTTAGTTTTTCAGAACTGAAGAGGTTCGCAACGTTCATTACAGATTGTATCATAGATTTATTTTTTTTTAATTGAGAAATTTGAAAATTCATATCTTTTAAGATCCGCTCGTGTCAATATTCAGATTTTCATTATATTAGTGTACTAAAAAGTTAGAAAATGTAATTGAAATTCACATAGTGAAAATGTAATTATGATGAATCTTGCATGAATCCGCCTATTTAATTACCATGCTAAAATCATCAGTTTATCGAATCCTTTTCTTTTCACAATTCGACTGTTGTAGAAAAATATTCAATGCAATTATTGTATGCAATTTCCTATTTTAACTTGTAAAAAAGTAGGTACAAATACTTATTGCTGAAGGACCTTTGAAACATGCGCTATGCGTATATACATACCTACGGAAGAACTTCTAGAGGTTTCAGTCGAATCAATTTCCCTATCAGGCTGCGGAATGTGTGTCAATAAAGCGTTGAAGAAATTGTACAGCTGAAACAAATTTTTCAATCTATCACATAAAACCAAATCTGTGGATTATTATCGTCCCTGTGTAACTAAAATTTTTATTTTTCGAGGTATAATACTGAAGCGTAGAAGTGCCACGGGTTTCAGTTTATTTTCAGTAGATGAAAATTCCGAACTCTCATTTCAAAATTTCGACCCTTATCTCGAAATTAAGTCTTTCAGCCTCGACATTTCACATAGGGAATCGAATCAACAGCACATAAGAGATAATAGATGATCTCAATAATAGTGTTTTTCCATCACTAGCTATAAAACATACCATTATTAACACTTTTTCTAGGCGTAAAGTGTGATTTTACTACCAAGGTAGTTTTCGTCATTTTAAGAACCACTATGAATACAGACAAAGCCACCTCTGTTATAATAAGAAATACACATGATTTTTTGTTTAATCGAAATTATATTCCTTCTTCCTTATACTAACATTGGATATCATTCATTAATCTCAAATTTGCTTGTGACTCTAAATAATTTCATTTAAATGAGGCTAAATATGAAGTCACAGGAAAACGGGTTAGTGGCCATCACTAATATTATGACGTCATAGTATTAGGCCACACAGCCATAGACTAGCGCGACAGAATGACAAGATTCAGATTGAAAAAAAATGAAGAAGAAGAAGTGGGAGAAGATAACAGTTTTAAACGCTAGAAATTTGAAATTTGAAAATGATGTTTATACCAAATACTGTTTAGTGCCGCAAAGCCTTTCATCAACAAAAGTATCACCAGGAAAAATATTCCTTTCATTGCCAGTGGGATCGAGTGATAAAAATAAAGAGAAAAGAAAATTATGGTTGCAAGCCATAAATAGAAATGATTTATCCGAGAAAACCAGAGGATTTGTTTGTAAAGACCATTTCGAAGTGAGTATACGTTCAAGTATTTCCTAGTGAAACCCATTATATATCAATGATTATGTTCCTCATGTTATAAGGAGAATAATATAATATGTGATTTCGTTTTCAGCTTGAAGAAGATATGGAAAACTATTTGAGATATAAATTGATAGGTGGTAATATATATTTGAAACAACATGCAATAAGAAGTCCTGTTTGATCATTCTTATTGTAGATATTTGCTTATTATTCAGTTATTATTATTCAGAATATTGAGATCATATAATCGAGATAGATTATAGAAACTACAAGCTCAGATAATCATAACCTCACTTTCTCTTCTTATATTATTTTCAATCTTTCGGACATGAATGTTTGACATGACAAATAAAAACAGCCACATCCAGTCGGAAATCATCGCTGCAGTTCGGCTGTTGGTCGGAAAGTTGCAAATATTATGATTTTCAATCAGAAATTATTAAATATTCGGTGCTTAATGATGTTTTTCGGATCGTTTTCGGATGTATAATTCGACATCTATACATATGAGTAAAGGAACAAAAATATATTCCAGTGTAAAATTTTCACACGCGTATACCCTATTAATCCGAATGCAATGTTCTGATCAGAATTTCGCAGAAATGTCAATGGAATCTAGTAGGTATACATCAATAACGACTTGTCATTTATGTTGTCATGGTCATTGGCTAAGAATTGATAATGATGAATGATATTCTTCACTACCTTGTTGTATATTTAACTATTATCATCCATCAGTAGGGGTGAAATCTTTATTATTGACCAGTAGGTGTGTTCTAGAGAGTATAGTGGAAAATTTGTTTTTGTTTTCTGAGCATCAAAAATATGAATGATATAGGTTCAAGCCATGCATTAATGGTTAGATGGGTTAATTTTTCCGTACCTTGACTTGGTCTTGTTCTCCGGCATATTCCAGAGTCTGGAATATCGTCCAGGTGTATCGCCTTCTAACTTCCAGACGAGCCATGTACCGCCTGTACCATTTCTGGATCAGTAAGGAAGCCTTTATAGCTGAAAACAAAAAATAAATATAGAACCAATCTCTTCAACATATAATTCTATATTCTACATATTTTCATCATCTCTTGAAAATCGATAAACCCAATTTTCCATCAGGATATAATATAGGGCGACCAGTAATATTTTAATCTTTTTTGAATGCCTATTATACAGTTTTAACTATAGTCTGTTTTTTCTGTGACGGGTGAAAAGTTTGAAATTCATCAACCTAAACAACCCTTCACATGAAATTTCCTTCGAAAGGAAAACTGTGTTATGAATTCAATCAAACTATGAGAGAACGTGTCCGTCCTTGTGAAAGTAATAGGTTTTCAGCATCCTCTGACACCCGAAATGAACCGGTTATTTGCATCTAAATTGAAATTTTGCCCAACACTTAGTAAACTTTTCCAATCGTCCGTGAATTCAGGTTGGTTGCAATTATACTGTCTGCTAACTGAAACCTTGTCCCCATCTTCATGAAAATAGGAACCTGATTTTTTCATGAATTTTCCGTTCATATCTATTTGGGGGGAGGGGGGACATTCTTGACTTCTTGACAGCCCCTTCCACTTCATTTATTTATCGGAAAAATTTAATCGTTTTCTGCACCAGAACACTATAGAGCAACTCTGTATGCCTAGATATTTGTTGTTCATCAAGTTGATTGAATGTCGTGTGATGAATAAAGGATATTGAGCATGATGCATATGGGTTGGGTTATCATGATCGATTTAGGTGCCTTCCTTTCACCGTGAAATATTTGCAACATGAGGACGTGTTATTTTTTCATGTTTCCCCGTTATTTTTTATGATAGACTGATAGGATCCCTTTAATTTCGTTAGAGTATGTGTAGGGTGTAGGTATCATTATTATTCATGACAGTCCTAAACGGTTACCTACCTATTTATCATTTTGTACTCTCGTAAGTCGTAATACGTGGTATTACAATACGCGCGATTTAAATATCTGCAACTGATTTGTTTATCTCTTGGAGCGCACGAAAAGAAATTCCTATGATGTTCGAAGAACATTGTGATTACCAAGGGAGGATAGGGAGAGGAAGTAGAATTAGATTTTTTTAATTTCATTGTGAACAGTTCATTGTACCAGTATTATCACCTGATAGAGCAATGTGTTAGCGAAACATGTATATCGTTTGTGAAGTTTTTATATTTACCATCAAGTAACGGCTGAGTCAATTCAAAAAAAGAGGTTTTTCTCCAATTGGCAGCAAATATTAATTTTGCTGACACATATCAATCAGCAAAGTATTACTTTTCCTGCCTAGGCAGCAAAGTGGTTACTTTGCTGATTGATATGTATCAGCAAAATTAATAATCCATAAATCGTTTATAATTTCCTTCATATTTCATTCGAGACTTCTCCGGCAACAAATTCAACTCTATATTTCTTGCCACCTCCCTTATTTCTGGAGGTGTAAGTACTTCTAGGTCGCTATTACTGTCCATTATATAATGATTTAAATATACCGATATTTCTCGCACAACTATCAGAATTTTCATGAATTGTCAAACTATAATTATCATGGACAACTGCGATTTCTATCAAATTTAATTTTAATTGAACACTACAGAAAAAATAGAGAGATTGTGGGAATTGTAATGATTTGCAATTACAATATCCTCCTATATCATTATGAACAATCGGAGAAAAAATTATATGTTCAACTCGGCAGCAAAGTAGATTGACTGCCTTAGCTGGATTCCTAGCCTCGCTACGCTCGGCTATGAATTCAGCCTCGGCAGTCAATCTACTACTTTGCTGCCTAGTTAAACAAATAACTATTTTTCTTCTTTCAAATAATAATTGACTATACCTTCTGCCGGAGCTATTAAACATTCCATAATTTGCAATTAATTCGAATTCATTAGTTTTTGGAGGCATATAAAATATAAAAATAATCCGGTCCTGGTAATTCGGAATGAGATTCTTTTTTCATATGGAGATTCAAATAAACGAGGTATAATATTATGACGTTAGTTTTTCTGCAAAAAAATCGATTTCATAAGAAAACCACACCTTTTTTCATTTTGATAAAAACACAGGGCACTGTTTAAAATGTTGGTCTCTGAAGAACTGATATTGATGGTTACTATAACTCAAAATCGGTTCACACGACTAATATTATCTGAGATATAGAGGGTGTTCGTAAATTGAAAAACGCTGTATATAATGCCTACCTCTGAGTGGGTTTCGACCGTTTGAATGACACTGTGCGACTTCATTTGTGATTTGGGACATTGAAACCATTCACAAATTCTTTGAAAAGTAATACAATTGAAAGCATTAATGTAAAATATTTCTCTATGTATATTTATTGTTCATTTTATTATGATATCCACATAACATTTCTTGAATGATGAATGGGTCTGTTTATAATTATTATATATTATATATACTATATACAGTGTGTCCCAATTACCATGCTCACCATGGGTATCTATTTAACGGTGAGAGATACGAGGTCGGTTAAATGACACCAAATGTGGAGTTTGTCAAGGCCAACTATAATGTGAAAAAATATTTTGATAAAATCTATTCGTTTTTGTTTTATACGCAAAAAACATATTTTGATCATTTCCATGTCTCCTCCGTAACTTCTTTATTAACGAAAATATTCAAATAGGAATTTCAAATTCTCATGCCAGTTTTACAAATTGATTTCGAAAAAAATATGATATTTATACCAACTCTTCTAGAATTCGCGATATCAGCACCAAGTTATTCAAATGTAGGTCATAGCTCACTATGACTTAGTTACAAATAACTTTTTTTTCTCTTACAGGTGATATGTCGCAGTAATAGTTTTGTGTTGATAACAACGGAGTTATCATCATTCATACATAAACAAAAAATTATTTGGTAGCCGCCATCTTGAATTTATAAATTTTAACAAAAAAATCATGATCTCCGACCTCAAAAACCCCCAGTCACCAATTTTGAATGGAATCGGACCAAATCTTGTCCTCCATCTTGGAACAGCCATTTTTTTTATTTCAACAAAGATTATATAATGTATTGTCACCGAAATTATGAACACCTGCCGAATTTCAAGTTAATCGGAGTTATGGTATTTTTGTTGAAATTTAAAAAAATGGCTGCTCCAAGATGGCGGACAAGATTTGGTCCGATTCCATTCAAAATTGATGAGTGGGTGTTTTTGAGGTGGGAGATCATGATTTTTTTGTTAAAATTCATGAATTCAAGATGGCGGCTTCCAAATAATTTTTTGTTTATGTATAAATGACGATAACTCCGTTGTTATCAACACGAAACTATTACTGCGCCATTTCATCTGTAAGAGAAAAAAAAGTTATTTGTAACTAAGTCATAGTGAGCTATGACCTACATTTGAAAAACTAAAGTTGGTGCTGATATATCAAATTCGAGAAGAGTTGGCATAGATTTCATATTTTTGTCGAAATCACTTCGAAAAACTGCCATGAGAATGTGAAGTTCCTATTTGAATATTTCCATAAATAAAGAAGTTACGGAGGAGACATGAAAATGATCAAAATCTGTTTTTTTCGTATAAAACAAAAAAGAATAGATTTTATCGAAATATTTTCACACATTATAGTTGGCCTTGACAAACTCCACATTTGGTGTCATTTAACCGACCGCGTATCTCTCACCGTTAAAAAGATACCCATGGTGAGCATGGTAAGTGGGACACACTGTATACTCGAATTACTCCAATTAGAAATTTCGCGTGAACGTTATGCCCAATCTGCACCCCATCAGTCCCTGTCGAGCAAACATCAAGTCAGACAATGGAAATCGCATCCCAAGAATGTTGCCTCGGGGGCGGTAATTATTTTCCCATCCCCCAAGGAACTTCGAACCCAGACTGAGGAACCAGCCCTATAGCACTCATTGGCGCACGCCAAGACACCTATTTTCGTCATATCTTATTCTTTTAACGAAAATATAATAGGATTATGACATAGAAGTAATATTCTGAGAGTAGGGCTGAGGATGGACAGATATATGTTCGAAACATGTGTCAATGTTGAATAATGTGGTAATCACATCAAATGTCGTGGAGATGACTTTGTGTATTATTTCATATTTGATGACTGTTCAAGTTTCTCAAGAAGGATTTTTGACCAACGAAATGATTAAAGTCTGTTTCATCTATCGATGCTGATCAAAAGATTCGAACAGGCTTGTCTTGATTGTCGATACAGCGACTCCCGTCTGCTTATCATTCAACGCTGTTTTGGTCGTCGGTGAAAGCGTCGATCTTTTTAGTTTTGTTCACAGCATTAGGATTATCGAAGGGTAGATGAAATAGTACTGAAAGGGTATATTCGTCGAATAGTTTGAAATCAAAAGAAGCAGCCAAAAACATCCTGTTCTTACATACTTTCATCGGCTTCCTGTGATATGACATCATCACTCTTTAATCAAGGGATAGCCAAGTTCCTTCAGCTTGTTCAAAGAATATCTCGTTTACGCTGGAGCATATAGTTTCTAGCTGCTTTGTATGGTGACAGCATGAATGAGGAAACCTTGGAAGATATCCACCACCAATGGTTTGCCAAGTCATCTATAAAGAACGAATTCAACCTTGCTTCTTTACAATCAACAACGAACGCGGCACGATGGCACTCTCTTAGGGCAAACTATCAAGTCCAAAAATAGTGTGGAAGGCTTGCTTCATGAGTGGAAATGGAAGATTATCTGACTAATAACGAAACAGATAGCATAGACTCATTATTTATTCAGATTTATTTAGGTAATTCAGATTCCTAACGACACAGGGGAGTATTTTTTTTTCATCGAGGTGGTTGAAATCCTTTATGGACACCATATGGGTCCAATCCCCCATATGATAGTGTGGAAGTCCCCTGACTCCAGGTATACCCACTAAACACTCCACTTCGTTCGTAGGCTCGTCTGAACGAAGACCCTTTTCGTTCAGGTTCCTGAAGATTACTCTTCCGATCCCTGTTCTCGTCAACGAAGAAGGCCGAAAGTTTTC